TTTAGCATCGGGAACATCCGACTGAAATAACATAGAGAAAAAAATTATTTCTGGTCTTTCTGTTCAATTTTAGCCCCTTCTGGAAAACATGAATGATGGGCACTAGTTAGCTGCAATAGAATTCATTGACTTGGTTATTTTGTTAAAGGTTTTTTTTTCCCAGCATCCTTTGTCTTTGCCTCACCGTCCATTCTTGGTGACAATCATTTCATTGGTGACACTTTGGAACTTCCTCCACAGCTCGGCGTCCTCCAGCGTCACCCTCACATCCCTCTCTGTGGAGTCACCTTTCTGACCCCCCACCTGCAGCTCACTCTCCACCGCGCTCAGCAGCCGAGACATGCAGCAGGACTCGACCTGGTCTGCCTGTTCTCCTGAAGAACCAGGAGCAGGAGCAGAACCGGAGTCCTGGTCAGTGCGCAACAACTCCACCTTCATCTGCAGAACAGAAGCACTTTTAAAACCAGCAGCTCAAAAAGAATTAAGACTGTTTGATTTATTTATTTTATGACTGTTTTCAAAAGTTGACTTTATCTGTCATGGTTCTAGTTTCTAAAGACTTGTTACCATATGTTTTTAACTATTATTGAATTTTATTTTTATTGTATTTTATGAATCATTTTTAGTTGAATACAAATGAATGATTAATCAATGGATTTAAATGATAAGCTTTCTTAATAACATATATATAAATGGAGTGTTGAGTTCATTGAACACACCACCAGTCAATGATATTATTCTCAAATGTCAAAGCAGAATTTATTCTTCCACAGACGGCACAACTGAATATAAAATCATATTTAACTACATGTTCAATAATAACTTAAACAGAACATTTTTTGTCGTTTTAAAAAAGTTAAAACATAACTGTGAATTTATATTTCTGAATGCAGAATTTTACAATTTTCAATTTTATTAAGCGTTAAAATTTAGTAATATATATATAATATTCATACAATAAAACAATAATAGAATAGAATATTTATACACTGATGTTAACAAACCAATTTAATAACATTTTAATGTTATATATTATTAAGGTTATTAATAACATGTACAAATGTGAAGTTTTATGGCTTAAATTAGAAATGGAAATAAATGTCATTTATTTGCATTATATTGACTTGATCTAGCTCACAATTAACTTTTACACACATTATATTATATATAAAGATTTTTAAAAAGCTGTTATTTTAGAATTAATTAAATAAATGAACAGTTCCATGAAATAAACATTAACTAAAGTGCAAAAATATCCTACCTTTAAGAAATGACTGCAAAAATTCCAGAAAACGCAATCAAAACAAACAAAACAAAATCTTCACTTTTCTTTGGAAAACGGAATCAAAACAAAACAAAATCTTCACTTTTCTTTGTGATGATGTTAAAGCTGCTGAAATACAGCTCAGTCTGACTCGACCATGCTTCACCACTCTCCCATCGCTCTCTCCCCCCCTCTCTCTTTTGCCCTCCCAGAATCCTTCTTTCTCTTTCCTCTCTCTCTCTTGTGTTTTTATCTTTGTTTAAATTACAAAAGGTTTTTTTTGTTGTTTAATTTATAAAACGGTACAAACTAAGAGGAGCTCTGTATTTTGTATCTGCTGGACTCATCATTTCTACACCGGTCTTACAAGCTAACAATTCACTGTTTCTAGATAAACTGTGAGGAGCAATCATTGGTGTCATTAAATCTACAGAATCACTGACTGATTTTTACCAATACCTGTGCTCATTCTCATTTCAAGTTTTATATTTCTGGGTCAACTAGTTGATTATTGAGACAATATTCAGCTTTTCCTGGTTAACATTTTCAGCACTGTTTTGACTGTATGACTTACAGTTATAATATTGTAATATTGGGCTATGTTTCTTTTTTTTGGTAAACTTCTGCCTATAATATTGGGCTATGTTTCTTTTTTTTTTGTTGTTCTAGGTTTAGATCAGTTCTCTCTGGGCTGTGAAACAGCCTTCACTTCAGTTCAATACACCTTTTATTTACTTTTCATCCATTTAACAGTTCTGTTCTACCAATATTTATAATATTTTAAAGATATTTTATCTTTTTTTAAATTGAAATTACTTTTAATTAATTAATTAATTAATTACAATTTTAAATAAAATACTGGATTATGCAGTTGTTAAATATTCAACATAACAACATAATAAAACTTAAATAAACTGTAATTTTGGTTGTTTTTATATTTATTTCAGTTTATAAACGATTATCGCCAATCGATCAGTTCAAGATCACTGTTTATTGAGTGTTCATTGATCAGATGATGAGTCATTATTCAGCAGTATTCACTGATCACTAGTCAACGATGTCCATCATGTGGACATCTGATGGTTTTGTCCTGTTCTTAGACGTTTACCTGCAGCTGCTGCCGACGTTGCGCTCTTTAAATCTTTAAAGCCTGTAATCTTCACACCGCTGATTAAAACACACACGCACGCCCGCAGGCACACACACACACACACTCAGATATCAGATGTCCTGTGTTTCCAGATGTTCTGATCTCTGATCTTCTGTCACACACTGACATTTAAAACGGAGCAGGAGTGGAGTACCAAAAAAAAAAAAAAAAAAAACTCTCCCTAATCTGATTTTATTTTACCACAACACAAACTCACTGTGTACAAATATATTAAGTGAAAATAAAAAAATGACAAAATTAAAAATATATATATTTACAGGTTTTAACGGCAGAAAATGGAACAGCATTTGAGAATACAATCTCTGAAAGAAAAGAAATGATCAGGAGAAAAACATTAGGTCAGCAATACAGGAATCGTTCATCATTTTAATTCAGACATGAGAAAGTATAGGGTTTTTATCATGACTTTTGTTAAAGAACTGATTTTACCTGGCGTAGGGGATGTAAGAGAGGCCATACCTACGGAGAAAAAACACAGTTACACAAGCCAGTCTCTGTGTGTGTGTGTGTGTGTGTGTGTGTGAGGGAGAGAGGAGAGGGTATGAGTGGTTATTTTATTTTATTTATTTATTATTATTTTTGTTTACCAGACAAAAGCCAAAACCTGCAGCAGACAGAAAATCAGAGCCATTGTGAAGTTCTTCCACTGCAGAGAAATAAGGTAAAAAGGGAGTCAGGGTGAAAGACAATAAAATAAGGAACGAATGAAAGAAAAATACAAGACATGACGGGATATAAAAAGGAAGGAAAGAAGGAATGGAGAAGAACATAGTAAAGAAAGAAAGGAGAGGGTTGACAGCAGTGACAGAGGGAAAGGTTTCCGTCAGGAAAAGAAAGAAAGAAAGGAAAGGAAGGAAGGAGGAAGGAAGGAAGGAAGGAAGGAAGGAAGAAAGGAAAGGAAGGAAGGAAGGAAAGGAGGAAGGAGGGGAAGGAGGGAAAGAAAGGAGGAAGGAAGGGAAGGGAAGGAGGGAGGGAGGAAGGAAGGAAGGAAAGAAGGAAGGAAAGAAGGAAGGAAGGAAGGAAGGAAGGGAGGAAGAAAGATCAAATAACAAAAGGACAAATAACAGAGAGGAGGGAATGGGAGATCGAAGTTACAGTGACTACATCTGTAGCTGCAGACTCACCCAGAAGGCAGAGGCGAGAGTCAGACCCAGACATGACTGTGGAGAAATACAGGTGGTGTCACCACAGCATCACATGTCATTTCGTCTGTCATTTAGTCACAATTAGAACTAAATGAGAAAAAAAAAAGTTTTTTTTGCTTTTTTTGTCTTTGTTATTGTCTCACCAACATCAGCGTTGTGGCCAGCGCTCGCTCCTTGGCGCACATGGACTTCAGCTGCCGACACGGACCAACCAGGAACATGGTGCTGAGAAAAGAATGATAAGAATGACGATGAGAATCTGTCACCATCAGACGCACAGGGAAGTTGTTTATGATGCAGTTCTTCATCAAGAAGTGAAGCAGGAACCTGCTCAGGGCACAGATGTTTCCAATGGTGTAGAAGACAACAAACACAATTAGACCAAATCCTGGAATCCACAACATAAAGGTGGCCTGTTGTCACAGAGACAGAGACAGGTGTGAGTCAACACGTTACTACAGGATAGAAGGAGGAGGGAGTGTGGGGGGGGGGGGGGGGGGCTGTGCTTACTCACCAGTACAGAGAAAAAGGCTCCAAGGATGAAACAGACCAAGAAACCCCGCATCCTGGTCCCCCAGTCCATCCCAGAGGACTCACTGTCTTCCTGTTTGATCAATTAGAGAGAAATCACGCATTCGAGTATTAGAGGGAGTCAGACATTTAAAAAAAAAAATCAAAGAATTGTGAATTAATTAAAATAAAAAAACATTAAAGGATATTTTTAAAATTAATTAAGAGAGAAGTTTGCCCAGATGGTGTAAAGAGTTAGCCAACAACAAACCATCATAATCCTAAATTACTTAAATGTATCCAGGAAAAAGCTATATAAATTCAAATAAAAGTAAAGCTGTATTTATTTGTATTATTTTATATTTACTTATATATCTTTTTTCCAATGCTCAAAAATGAAGAAAAAAAAATCAAAGATTTGATGAGTAATATTAAATTTATAAACAATGTAATTGGAATTTCAGGTTATGATGAAAAGATACAAAGAATAAATGGTGAAAACTCAATAAGGAGGAGAATTACAGGGAGTTCAGAGTAAAGTGAGGAGATGCTTTCAGGGGGAGACAGTGATGGAGACTGGCAGGACGGTGTTAGTGGAGTAGAATATAGACGTCTAGGAAAACATCCAGAAGAGGGCAGCAAAGAAAAGCTGGTGCAGTCAGGGAGGTACGACAGTTAGACAGAAATATTTTGGGGCAGAACAGATGTGTGTAAATGGGTGTGAGGTGTAAAGAGTATGACATGGGTCAATAGATAGTGGATATATTTGGAAACAGAAGACACCGTATGGACGGCTTATGGATGTGGAAAATTAGGACATGGAGACATACACACCAACTTTGGTAAGAACTTGTCATTTTTAAAAAAATGTCTTTTTACATTTTTGTTTTTATAAGCTTTAAGTTGGATTTCTAATTCATTACTTTGAGCTAACTCCTTGTTAAGCAAACATCTAGTTTTCCTTATGTTACTGGCCCTAAAATAAATGTTGTTCTGGCAGTTGGTCCTAAGGGTTTTGTGTCTCCTTGGTAAAACCAAAAAAAGGAAAATTAAATCAAATAATACTCCCAGAGTAAGTAATTAGTAAAAAAATAAAAATAAAAATAGCTTCTCTCTGACCTGCTCCTCTGCGTCTCTCTCATTGCTTTCTTCATCCTGTCCACTCAAGACTCTCCTCAGCTTGTCCATGACCTCACACCTGTGACCTGTTCCTTTATCTGCTTTTACAACGAAGAAAGTTGAAAAAAAAAAGAGAAAACGTCGGAAATGGGCGGCAACGTGAGCGACATCGACCTGTAGTACCGTGTGTGACCACAGCGGCAAAAAGAGAGGCGCTATTTACCTGCTGTTTACAACGTACTGCTAATGACGTCCCGCCGAGTTAAAAAGCGATATAAAGGGGATGTTTTTGTTGTTGTTGTTTGGTTTTTGTGTGTTCTTCTGGTCACCGTGTGTTTTATGTTGTTTCAATTATCTGTCCTTTTTATGGTCACTCGTTGTTCGTGTTGTTGTTGTTTTTTTTATTAATCCAGCTGAATTTAAAAACCAACACAAATGGGGCTACAATTCAACATAGATTAAACACATGCACAGACATCTGAGGAAACAGCTGAGGCTGCTGGTACAGTGGTTGGCAGGATCACACTGTTTTTGTCCATTTCGATGATTGTTGTCTCCTGATAGGAGTCTTACAAGTGTCAATGGTGTGGATTATCTCTCTACTTTTGGAGTTGATGGACTCATGGCACTTTAACCCTGGAAGAGCTCCAGTAGACGGGTTTGGGCATGGACACGTGGCTGTGACAGGTGGGACAGGACTGTTTCCTCCACAGCCACTCTTCTATACACTGATTCAGGGACAGAAGTGAAGAAAACAGATCATGAAATGAGAGCCAGAAGTCAGAAGAAGACAAAAATAATACTGTCCTTAGACGGGATATATTTCGAAGACATTTCCCACAGAGCCATAGATCAGAGGAAAACATACCTCTCTGTGAAAGGTGTGAGTACACTGTAATTCTCTGGTTCCACCAGTGCCCTGGTGTAGGTCGTTGTGACAGATGAGACAAAGCCTGTCTGCATCCCCCAAAGACATGACACTGCGTCTCCTAAACTGCCCCTTCCTCTCGCGCACTGCAGCCCCTGGGATCGTAGAAGTCAGGGAGAGTCTTCGCTCTGTGGGAGTAGCAGTGTCTGCAGCATCCTCCTGTGGCGGGGGCAGAAGGCGACGTGAGGAGGAGCGTCGAAGCAGGACTCTGGCCGTTACTGGAGTCTGGATGGATGAATGGAGACGGGACAGCTGCATGGACGAGAGAGTAGACTAGACACGGGGTGGGGGGGTGGGGGGCACGTTAAAGTCAATAAAATTCGTCATAAAATTCAAAATGACTGCCACTACTTCAGAGTAGAGTTTTGTAGCAATAAATGTAAATTAATTTTTGTGGAAGAGCTTGACTTTAGTCCTATCTACTAAAAGGGCTGATGCATCAAAGGTCTGGGAAATACCGCCGTAAGGTAAGAGCACTAACTACACATCCACCATGTGGCTCTGAGCCCAGGTAGTGACTGTTAAATATAGTACGTATGATCCACAAATCCCATCAACTTCCTTCAAAAATAAGCAGGACTGTGGGACTGAAATCCTTATTAGTGAGGACCTGATCTGACCTTCTTAGAGCAAAACTCTTGGACCAAAAATGGACCTGTAGAAGCTAAAGATAACAGCTACGTGACAGGTTGTACACAGTAGCTGGGAGCAGGATCTCTGAAACCCCTGAAGACTAAATAAACTGAAACACGCTGATCAGACCAGTCTGGTTGCTCTTTTGTTGTGTGTGGAGAAAGTAATTAGCAGTGAACCAGTTAAAAGATCAACATGTTGGAGGTCTTTGTGTAGAGAGTACACACGTGTGATCTACAACACCTGCTGTGCTGCTACACTGAGAACACTGCTAAAAAAATACAGAGAACCTCTAACTGTATTAACAGCCAACACATCACTCCAAGGCAACACATACATCTATACTCCTCCACCAAGGTTATGTGCAGCACACGTTTGTCAGCTCCTCACTAAGACTAGAACAATATTACTTGAGCTGTGTGTTCAACACCCGTCCTCCACAAAATAAGTGTTAAGACACCTGGTAGACATCCCAGACCTCCTGAGGGTCTCTTGCAAAAGTGTCAGTGGGTGATACAGATGATGTGAGACAAAGTAAACTAATCTAAACTCACCACAACTGCAAAGGGACACAAAAATGTATGTACGATAAAACAAGTTAGCGTGTCTAAAGGTCTCCCTAACTAATGTCCATAAACAACCATTATCCTGTTTGACCAATGTCACCTATACCTGGGGTAAATAGTACCTCTGAACTTTAGATGTAAACAACGGTATAAAATGGAACTTTATGCCAAATGCTCAGTTGTCACTATGAGACAATGGATTGTGATATTGTGTAACTTTGTATCAAACATGTCAATGTGTGAAGGTTTTGATGTGTAACCAGATGTGTGTGTTGTGTGTTTTTCTTACCGGACATGGCAAAGATGCCCGTCGGTCGGTCCTTAATCGGGTCAGCTGTTCCAAACTGAGTCTACTTTCTGTTCTTCCTTCATCTGATGCTCCTTCCTCCTCACTCTCCTCTGCAGGTTTATCCTGTCTTTTGCCTCTGTACTGTTGCATCCAGGCATTGAAGATACGATCATCTTCTTCCTCATCCTTCTCTTCATTTTCATCCTCCTCCTCTTCTTCCTGAGGTCTCAGTGAAAATGGGTCCTCACTGTCTGAGAACTCATCCATTCTATCGCTGTCTTGATCCATAGTGTTGATCTCAGTATTTTCAGCTAAATACAGGTAATTGAACTAGTTAAAAATAATTGAAAAGAAACTAAATAAGCCTAACAAAGGCAGACAACCCAGGTCAAGTGACAAATGGGTTAATAGTCATTTGTTCTAAATTAAGAGAAGGCTAATATTGCAAGTGAACACCCAGAGATTAATTTTGTCTGGACTTAAGCTACATTAACTAGGATATTCAATAGCATTGAATATATGCAACAAAATTATGCTGCATTTAGTTAAAAAAAATTACAAATTTAGTCAATATGTCAAAGTATATATTGGCTAAGTGTTCAGCTTAGCTATGTGTGAAAGAAGGGTAATGCTAAAATCTGGCTAAATATTAGACATTAAAATATTAAAGAGTTTAGTATCACGTGATATAATACTAAATAAAAAATTGATAAGAATAAAAGGATTCAGTGAGGATTTGCTAGCAGCTTAATATTTTCATAAAGAAAAACAAGAAAGAATAATAGATAATCAGGTCCATGTTCATAAATCCACAAATCACAGTGAAAATTAAGTCCTTAGTCCAAAATGGAAGCCAGCTTTTTTCAGTTGTCCTGTCTTGTTCATGTATCCGTGTCTGTTGCCACTCTCACCAGAAGTCTGTTAATCCTTTTACTGGAACAGAAGAGGAGGAGGGTAAAGGATTACATTTGGATTATTGGGCATGTGTCACAGAAGATGAAAGCAGGTGAATTACTTCTCGAACAGCTTGTCTCCAATTAACAGGTTATATTAGTTAAATTAATATTCATTCTATGGCCATAACTATAAAAATGTATTTAAATATATGTTAAATAATTTTTACGTAAGTTATTCATTAACAGTATTATATATATATATATATATATATATCTTTTTAGCATTAACTATTTTGTTTGTTTTTTGGTTTTCATTCATTGGTATTTTTCTTTTTAATTTTCAGATTTCAGCAAAAGTTTAGGTTTGTTTTTTAATTTTCAGCGTCTTGCAATCTTTGACAAGGTTTTGCCGCATTTTAAGTTGATTTGAAGTATTATACAATGTTGTATATTGTTAAACAAATAATACTTTTCGCTTGAGTTTTTAGGCATTATTCCAGTATAGCACCGGATATAGTTCTCCCGCGGTTTGTTTAACTTCCGGTGTTCAAGTAGCTTCACTGTGGGAAAATAGCGTAAACTCAGGCGTCTAATTCTCTTTTAAATGCTTATAATATTACAAAAGCAATTGCGAAGCAACACAAGCGGAACAGAACGTAATGGGTATGCCTATTGCACATACCGGTCTGTCTGGTTTTAATAGGAATTAAAAGGATAAATAGCTAATGCTAACGAAATATCACTCACAATGTATAGAAGCCCCTTGGATTCCATCCCCATCTTAAAAGTAAAGTCACTTAACGATGCTGATATGAGTCAAATTATCAACTGTGGTGCTAATTTTCCTATTCCCACGATTTCATGGCTGTATAATTTCATTAAATTCAGTGATGAAACGTGTGTATTGCACCCTGGTGGATAGTTTAAATTATTATTCTAAGACAGAGTTTTAATAATGAATATATGGTTTATTTCAGAAGATGAAACACTTAAATTATCACATTGACCGTCAATGAGTATTAAGAAAACAATTGTAACTTTTGTAAAATTTTGAGATTGGCGTTCTTTACATTTACTCTTTACATTGGAATTCTTCGGGGGGGTTGTTTGTTTTATTACATTTTAATTTAAAATCTAATATTGACTTTTAAAATTTCCATTCTATTTATATTTTTCTCTCAGGATGTTGACTAACATTTTATTTTAGAGCTCAAGTCAACATACAATTCAATGTATTATGTTATATTGAATGAAGGTATATTATAGTAGATATATTATTTTTCTTATATTTTATTTTAAGGCTTAGGTGGAAACAGAAACTTAATGGATAGCAGCCGGTTTGAACACAACCTCTCTGTGCATCTTCTTTCTTCCACAGCCTCTCCGCTTCCGCTTCCCCTTCCCTCCCTGCGCCTCCTTGTTCCTCCTTTGCGCCTCTTAACAGCAGCAATTTGGCGTATAGCTCTACAGCACAACATACAGCATTATGGGATGCTGGAAGACTTTGTCACCGTGGTGACTGAGGCAGTGCCACAGCTGTTGACAGATAGGCAGAGGAAGCTGCTGCTGCTTAGCCTCAGGGCCAAGGTGGTTTTAAACACACGCACACACTATCTTTTTTAAATGTGCCGTTAATTGACTGTTAACTAACATACACTGATGTGGGTGCTCCACCTACGGTATCACTTTCTGTTGTTGAAGTTAACACACAGAAACTGAAAGATACCAAAAGTTAAAAAATAGTTACAAAGTAGGATTTTTTTGAAGATGTTTCACCTCTCATCCAAGAGGCTTCTTCAGTTCAGAAAAAAGAAAGAAAAAAAAAACCTACTTCGTCCAGCTGCCCTCGATGTACCTATTTTTGGATTGAATGACCTGGATGACTGAGAACCTACACAGACACGATACTATAAGTTCTTTCACAAAAAATTATCAGAAAACAATACAAAATTTGAGCAAAATACTGAGCAAAAAAAGTATGAGGTTAACCCATAAAGTTAAGCATGGCTTCCTGTTTTCTTTCTTTAGGTGACCCTCTCTAACACAGAGGACATCCTGAATCCTCTAGACAAAAAACCTGTCAACTTCGGATCTGTGGTCAGACCAAAAAAAGTGTTTTTTGGATATGAGTGCATGGGATACTAGGAAATTGACCCCTAAAAGTGTTTGCATTTTCTTGTCCCTGTTTTGTTTTATCAGTTAAATAAGGACAAAGATGAACTGTGTCCATTGCTTGCAACTCTGAGCGACCAAACAAGACTTAATGCTGCTGGAAGACACCGCCTCCTACAGGTCAGTGATTAAAACTGCAGTTTACCTACAATAGGCTCAGTCTCTGTATTCCTGACTCAGCCCCTGTCCATGTTCACAGGAGGTGTTTGACCACACGTTTGACTCTGCCCTTCTTGCACTCCTGTCAGACTTCCTGTCCAGGATCGAGCAGATGTTCCCTGTGCCTGACTTCAAACAGGTTCTCCAGACATTAACACATTTTCTTTTGTGTTTAAGTTGGAGAGCACAAAGAGACACACATAATTAAAATTACTTGCTCTTATTATAAAATAATGATGAAATAGTTTTGAACAAGTTGATTGATGAGTATTTTACTTGACTTGAAGTTCAAGAAGGCAAAAACAAAACAATTTATCAGTGGATTACTAAAAGTTAACTGTAACGTTATAACGTAACTAAGTTTATTTCAGAACAAGTTTGACGCTAATAATAATATAATAGATACTTACAAATTTGCTGAAACAGGTAAAGGATCCAATTCAAAAACATGAAGCCAGAATACCATGACGCTAACCTGAACATAACAAACACTAATTCCTCCAGGTAGCCAAGTAAGCTAGTTATTATCAAATAAATACCACAGGGATACCTATAGCACAGAGGCAGCTGGAATGTAAGGTAACAATAGTAAAGATTTGGCTAAAAGAACACTCCTAAAATGACTGTAAAGTCTAAGTTATATGTTGGACCACATGAAACACAGTGTAAATGCCACAGTTTACCACAGGCAAAGCTTTGGACACCTCATTTGAAACCTTTTTCTCTCACTTAGGCAGCTTCATGGCTCGATACTACCCCTGCTGATCTGGAAGACTGTCTGCAGGGATCAGACCATGAGGACTTGAAGCAGTTACTAACTAATCAAAGCTGTTTACTGGGTTCTGTGACCACCAGAGGTACAACAACACATCACAGACTCAATCATCTGGTTCAGCTGAACTAACGGTGCATTTCTTTTTCTCCAGTTGGCAGTGACAGTGAGAAGATCCTTCTTGCCACCTGGTCCCACCCCCTCATTACCAAACTGACCAATCACAGTTATTCTCCTTCCGAGGCTACAGCACAGCCGTCGAACATCATTGCAGAGGATTTAAATTCACAGCTAGTGAAGGTGGAGGTTATGGTGATGACTCAGGACGACCAGGTAGAGGATGTGTTGCCTGTCCAACAGGATCTGACCAATCAGGGTCAAGGAACCATGACACCTATGAAGGAGTCGCCAGGAAACAATATCCAGCAATTAGAGGAAACAGGTTACATTCTCAACACTGCAGTGGTCAGAGCTGTTGTTTGTGAGAAAATAAAGCAAAATGAAGTTGTCTTAGAAACTTCCTGTTTTCAACTACCTATGTGATTGTCTTACTGCAATTTCTTGTTAATAACTTAATGTTGTTGACTCCCAGTCTCTTTCTTTGCAGTCGACCTGCCAGATGTGTCCTGCTCTGAAGTCACAGCTAACCCACTGTTTAACATTTCCCACAACTCCCAGCGAGTGGCTCACAGGTGTCCTCAGTGCGGCAAGTGTTTCATCTATCGCTCTCTGGTGAGTTTCTTTTTTGCTTGAAACGGCCAGTGATAGGTTTAACCCAGCAGAGGGAGCTGTTGTTCTAATGCCAGTCTTTTTCCACAGGTGCTTCGTCACCTGAGAAACAACAAGTCCTGCAGCTCCACCTTGACTTCAGCTAGATTAAGAAAACAACTGGAACCGCCTGATAAGCCCCGCCCCCAGAGGTCTCTGCCTTGTTTTCAGTGCAATGCTGTCTTTAAAACCAAATCTGAGCTCTTGTCCCACCAGCGTAGCCACCACACCCGTGGCATCTACCAGTGCAGCCATTGTAATAAGGTGTTTTACTACCTGTCTAGTCTGACCAATCACAAGCAGACACACCTGGACAGGGGCAAAACCAGAACCACCATCAGGAGCTCTCCAGAGAAAGGGTTTGAGGCTGTGGAGGATTATGCAGTCAAGCAGTTTGAAAACCGGCCTCAGGATCTGACGTGCTCTGTTTGTGAACAGGGGTTTGGTTCTCAGACACAGCTGCTGCGCCACATGCAAACACACTCCGTAGAGGGCGCTGCACCTGTCTACAACTGTCGTTTCTGTGAACAGAGCTTTTCAGGTAACAGCACCGCACTGTAAATTCTCAGTCAGGATCAGAACATTACTTATTAATCAGAGCATTCACGTACACGCACTCACACATGTATATACATTTAGATGCAGAGACAGACAGGTTTCCAGCTGTGCCATTCAGTTTCAGTATCAGAAGTATTGGAACTACATCATTTTATACTACAGTCCAGTCCACATTACAGAGCAACCAAATGAAAACTGCTGGACTTGAATCAGTGTTACATACCGCCCAGGTGTCACATTCAGAACAAGATACAAACAGGTCACAAAGTAGGTGACAGATCCAAAACCACCTACGGCTAACTGGTCGAGCATCAGTTTCACGATCAGTTGTTGCACAAAATCAGGTGTTTTTATTTTTTCAGGTGTGACTCAGCTTCGTATCCACCAGCGTTCGCACACTGACCGTTCGTACCAGTGCGACCTGTGCAGTAGGACATACGGCTCCCTAACAGGGCTCCAGTCACATCGTGCCAGTCACAGCACCGAGAGCCGCTTCCTGTGTTCACAGTGTGGGAAACGTTTTAAGACCCGGGATGGGCTTGAGGGTCACCTTAGGACTCACACGGGTGAGCGCCCCTATCGCTGCCCCTACTGTCCAAAAGACTTCACTGCACTTGCTGGTCTCAACGTGCATGTGCGGCGGCACACTGGGGAGAGACCGTACGTGTGCACGGTGTGCGGCAAGGGTTGGCCCTCAGGTGGTGACCTGCAGAAACACATGAGGACGCATACTGGAGAGCGGCCATATGTGTGTGTGGACTGTGGGAAAGCCTTCTCCGTTTCCTGTCACCTGACTGAACACCGCAGGATACACACAGGTAATTGACTGCTGCATGTGTGTGATCATGTGAATGGTTGCCATTTTTGTGTCAAATTGTTTCTGTCGTTGCAGGAGAGAAACCTTTCTGTTGTCCCGAGTGTGGAAAATGTCTGCGCAGGAAGTTTGATCTGAAGAAGCACATGTTGTCTCACAACAGTGTTCGTCCATACACCTGTCTTTACTGCCCGAAGAGCTACACCTGCAAAACACACCTGAACAGACACCTGCAAACCCACAAAGGCACAAATGTTGAGGCTGACACCCATTGACCCACCAGACAATAACTCTACACACCCTGGTAGAAAAGAAAAGAAGGGACTGGAAGTGGACACGTGCATCTAAGCCACAAATGTACAGATGTCCTTGATTTACAGTGTCAAGGATGCAAGACTTAAAAACTCTAACTTTAACTGCAAAAAGTGATTATGAAACCATACAATACTAAAGGACACTCTGTGCTAATGTGAAATTTTGCAAGGGCTTTTGTTTCTAAATAAATACCCTTTATATCTGTAACCTCGATTGCTTTAGTTCCAGTGGTTTGGTGAACAAAGATGAAAGTGAGAGGCGAGCGAAGTAGACAGGAAATGAGCTTTATTATCACAGTAAGAACAGGATGTTTTTAGTCGTCGTCATCATTTCCCACTTTCTCAATGGTTTTCCTCATCCACCTACTCATCCGGTACACATGAGTGTAGAAGCCGTACTTTCCATCTCTGTCACAACCTTCGCCCCATGACACGATGCCCATCTGGTACCATCGGTTATCTGCCGGGTACTGCACATACAGACATCAAATGGATCAGCAAATTTAATCATTGAGTCATTTACTAATTTTAACATAAGCTGTTTTAGCTGCAGATGATCATGAATTCCCACCTTCATCACAAACGGTCCTCCGCTGTCACCCTCGCAGGCGTCACCACGCTGAGTGTCCTCCGGTTTATAACCTGCCGGTTCAAAGAGTCAGTACAGCTTCTTTTGTTGTTTGGTCTGTTTAAACAGCACTGTGCTAGAAAGTTATAGTAGCAGGAAGCTCTTAATAAAACGGCACAGAGAATGATGTTAAACACTCTCAGCCCACCAACACACTACAAACCAATATTAAACCAAATTAAAGGTTGCACATAAACATGAGCAAACATGACCCAGTACCAAGTATTGATCTGGTACTTTACACTGACCTCACTCAGATCGACTTTGGTATTACAAAGTGAGCGATGCTCAACCTTCAGGGTCTACTCCTAATGTGTGTGTGTTAAGAGCCGACTCTGTAGGTTCTGTTGTATTGATCAAAAGAATCTTACCAGCGCAGAACATGTTATTTGTGATCCTGACAGATGTGGATCTACGGCAGATATTCTGTTCCACGATGGGCAGTTGGATTTGCTGAAGGGCTGATGGTAAATTCCTGGCTGCTGGGTTCCAGGTTTCTTTAAGATTTCCCCAGCCCGTCACCCTGCCTTTGTAACCTGCGGACATCAAACTATCACAAACAAAGATTTGTTGGACAAAACCAGTTTAGTGTTCACACGCTCTATATATTTTTTTATTTTTTGCTGTGTGTGGTTGCCCTACGCCTTGGCAACTGCCTTGCTTGGAAGGCAGATAGGATAGATCTCATCAGAGAAGTCAATTGGCTTTCTCATGTGGAGCAAGGCGATGTCACGGTTGAGATTGTCTTTCCAGTTGTACTTCGGATGAACAATAATTTCGTCAATAGCAACAATTTTCTCTCTTCCCTGTTCATATCTAAAGAGGTGACAAGAGGTTCCCGTTACACAAAATCAATTCATTAAAATTTTAATTGAATGCTAATTTTGGAGGTTGTACTTGGCACGGTAGTGTTTTCCAAGGCGGACCAGGATGTCTTGAGTGGTAAAGTTTTTGTTCCAGGGTGGGTACAAGATGCAATGAGCTGCAGTGAGAATCCACTGGTCACTGAGCAGACTGGCTCCACACAGCAGCTCCTGAGGCCTGCGCTTGTACAGCATCACCTGCCTGAGAAAGGTCCATGACAAATACATGAGCAGAGTCACGAATGATTTGGTTTTCGTGTTTTGTTTTGTTGATTTTTTGTGGTTTAGTACCATGGTGCAGAGGCCATTTCAGCACTGTCTCCTCCAACGATTCGTTCTTCTCTGTACAACTTAGTTAGTTCGTCCTCCTTCTCATCTTTCTTTCCTGTTTTCTCAAACAGGGGGCGTTGTCCACACTCTGCAACAAAACCAGCAAGCCAGTCACATACTCAACCAGTCGGTCTAATAGCCAACCAGTCAGTTAACCAGTGAGTTATCTGATCAAGCAGTCAGATTACTCATGTAAATGCTGTGGCCCATCAGTGGTTCAAATGAAATGAATTTTGAAATAACCAGTCAATGACCCTGTTAAACACTAAAACAACTGGTCATCTAGTTAAATAAACAATGGCTAAATGTGTGATCCAGTCAGTTCACTAGTCACTTGATTGGTCACCTAGGTAACCACTCAGACACATGTGACCTGTGATTAATCGGTAAACTAGTCCCTTGATTGTTTGGTCTGTGGTCCACCACTTAGCTAACACGGTGATGTGCTAGCCTTGACTAGTCAAATGTTGTTGACTGTTGAACATTGATTAGTTGCTCAACAGTTAACCAGTCAATAGATCAGTCCAACTCAAACACAAGATTCCTATTGTGGTTCAGTTCTTGATTTCCCGGGTACCCAGGTACCAGGTTGTTAGCTGGTTACAGCGGTGACATCTTACCAAGCTCTCCTTGTCCAAAGTGTTCGACATCAAAAAAGGTTTTCCTGCTAGAACCAAGGACTGAGCGTTCCCTGTCTTCAGTGACATCTGAGTCAGTATCTCCAAGAAGAGAGGTGTCTGGACGACAGACAGTTGAGAGATTAGGAGCCAATCAAGAAACACTGGTAAGACAAGGTTGGGATTGAGGCAGACTTCATTTACCACAGACGTCGATGTCGCAAAAGTCAATCGTCAGGTTTCCAAAAACCTCCACGTAGCACCAGGGGCCCTCGGGGTCATTGTCTGGGTTCCGGCACTTGTTACCGAGAAGATTTACCTCAGCCATGAACTCCTTGCTCTTGCTGAGCTCCTGTACTTTTGGTGAGGACCAGGGCAAACAAGTGTGTCCTCCTAGAGTCACAGCCAGGTCGCCAACGTAATCCACTCCATGATTGGGTAAACAGGCAGTGGTCTGTAATGGTTCTGGTGCCAGAGTTGGAGGTGTGTAGTCCTGGCCTGAACAGAAGACGACGGTTGGCATGAAACAGTACATTTTGATCACGGCCGTGGACTGACTGATACTTGCCACAGATGGGGATGCTGCAGGACTCTTTAGGTACTGTTGGGTCCTGCGTGAAGCACCAGGGTCCTTTAGAACTCTTATCTGGATTACGACAAAAATTCTCCTGAAGAATGTGGTCCACATCAGACACGTTAAACTCCCTGATCACAGATGGGTAAAGCACAGTGTAATTCAGGTGGTTGATCAGTTGGGTCAGTTGTTAGTTGGTAGATCAACTTTGTTAAACTGAATATTCTCTGAGGGAGGGCTGAGTTGTTAGTCCATGTTATGTTTGTTAACTTAATTGTTAGTCAACAGGTTTATTGAAATTTAGTTGTGTAAATTATTTGTGAACAGCTGGTTGGATAAGAGGTTTGTGGTTAGTTACTGATTGGTTACCTAATTCCCCAAATGGTGTTTATATATGAAGGGAGTAGGGAATTGTTTGCTTGGTAACTAAGCATTAGTTAGTTAGTCGATTGATGGTTAGCTGAATCATCAGTTCCCTGGTGTTAGTCATTTAGATGTTTTACCCATTGTTTGAAAGTTGTTTAGGTACTCGTTTGTTTTTGGTCGTTGTGTTCAGTAGTTAGTTAGCCATTTAGCTAGTTCAATTCCCTGTTGGTAGAAGCATCAGTTACTCACCTCATGATAGGATGTGGGAAGTTGTCTTTCCAGTACTGACATCGTTTCCCTGATATGGTGATGTTGACGTCTCCATTATAACTCACTCCACTTTTAGACCCCATAACACAGAAGCCTATAAACACACACACGGACAGAGTCTGTGAACAGAAGGCTGCCGGACGCTGTGGTTCATTTCTGCTTTGTGTATTTGTTTACCTTGTATACATTGTCTGATGATGTCAATGTTTTTCCCTGATCTGGATGTTTGAGGACCAAGACAGTCTGAGACACAGGGACACAGAGAGACACACAGAGAGTGGGATGGAGGGAGGAGGGGACAAAAGAACAGGGAGAGAAACAGAGAGGGGGGAGGGGGGCTTGTTCTATGTTTGCACTCACTGAGATTTTGGACTTTTGAACTAAAACGGAACAGAATGAACGTACAATTACGGTCAATTCACTCACAGGAGATAAGGCTACAGAGTACAAGTCAGTCGAAGTCTGAACAATATGAGTTAACTTCAAATTAAGTCAGGGATTTAGGAGCTGAAGTCACTGAAGAAAGGTTGATTCTTCTGGGTTTTATTGGCAGGACAAATTCAGCACAGAACCTTTGAGTTGTGTCCCTCAGAGTTACAGTCGGAGTTACAGAAGTAGTTCACGTCAAGTCACTAAATTGAAAGTCGAGATCCAAGGCATAACATAAATGCCAGTTGAGCCTCAGTCTAGTCGTACTGTTTCTGGACTTGTCAGGAAAGGTCAATCTTGGTGGCGGGTCATGTGACCCCAAAAGACTCACCCAGGTATATCTGCCAAAAGTTTTCCTGTGGGAGGAGACCATTCACATGACATGATTGCTGATTTCAAAGGGTGTGCTGCTTAGTGATTGGTGGATTAATCAGGAAGTGGCCAGAGTTTTACCGTCTTCAATGGCTCTTCGAAAACCTCTCTGGCTTCTTCGTGATCACAGATTTCCTCCACACATTCCCTCTCAAGGTTTCCTACACAGAGCCAGAATCAACATAGGGATACATAAACTGAACAACAACAACAAAACAAACAATTAAAGCCACGCCCACCTGGTTTCATCTCCTCAAACAGAGTGTTAGCTCGTCGACTACGAACCAGAAGCTCCGATGCCTCCTTGCTACTCAGGAAAACTGCAAATACACAACATACAGTCCCTCTATCATCACTGTAAAAAGCACACCAAACCTCATGGTAAAAATTGATATTGTTGTTGTGCTGCCTCTCCAAAGTTTAAATCTGTTTTCTATTTTCTGACTTCACTATTGAAATTTACATTTCGATTTGCCGCAGTGATGAGAAATGAAATAAGACATTAGAGAAAGAAGAATGAAAAGGAAAAAGGAAAAAAAAAGGAAAGAAACAAATGGTTTAGTTTCTCTTGTTCTCCCTAAGTGAACGTTGGCTTTGACTTCCACTAACGTGTTTTATTTGCTAAGGATTCGTTCATTAGCTGAAATATGATTTTGGGTCAGATTTCCACTGCATGCCAACCTTAGACACCCCTTTGGTTCCTGAATGTCTATACTTTCACACTTCATATAACCTCAGCTTATTCTTCAATACCAGCCGCTCTCTTTTCTCTGATAAGTGCGATCAAATCAAATAGGCTAACAGATATCAAAAGTGAAATGAAACTGATACCATTGTGGGCTAGACAGCAGTTCCACAGGAACAGCAGCAGCAGCAGAACATGTGCCACTGGTCTTGTTGGGTCCACCATGGTCCGGATATCCAAAGAGACACTTGGTCAGAACCAGATCCAGCTCACGTTGTGTCTTTTTCCAGTCTTCCCTGTCACAGTCTGACTCTTTGTACGGGGGGAGTAGGGGTGACAGTGGGCGAGTGTATTGACTGAAGGGCCAAAGTTTGAGTGTGTGGATGTTGTTTACTTTGACATGCACACGACAAGCTCTCTGTCCCCGATGTTCCCAATAAACTATCTATGAGTCATTACCAAAAACCAAAGAAGGAGTGTCAGACATTTTTGTTTTCACCTTCTCACCCTAAAGTCCATAGATATAAGCAGTGTTTCCAGCTCACAGGGATATACAGATGTACCACTGCTGCCTCCTGTGGTCAGTTTGTGTCAGTGAGGGAAAATCGAATAAACATTTGAATCATCAGTGTTACAAAATAACAATAAAAAAAAACCAATGTATTGATAAAGATGCCACCAGCTGGAGTACACAGGAAGTGTCATTTTTGTTAGCATAAACCTTACAACGTGCGATAAAACCACTTTAATTCATAATAGGAAAGAACGAATATGTTCCCTGAGACAGTATTGAGCTGTCCTGTGGCCGACTCATGACTCATCACTTTTAGAGTAAATATGTACTTTAGAGAAGCAAAGATAAAGGTCTTAGCTGTAGGTACTGAGGGACAGCAGCTCTTGGTCATTATTGTCCCCTCCCTTGTCTCAATATCCTCATTTATCTCAATTGAGTCACTGAAGGACAGCCATGAGAGAGACTGGTACATAGTACGAGTACATCCCAAACGTTTGGTCGCGTTGTTTCTGGTTCAGGTTGGGCTATTCCACAGACGCCTTCAGTCAGAGACCTTCTGATAACATCACTGCTTTATGCAAAGGGTGTGGTCTGGGTGGAGTCATCATCAGAAACCTTCAGCCTGCAATCGGACAATTTCTAACCAAAGTGGAGGTGGTCTGGGTCGCATTCACAGGGATTCAGACACAGTAGTGGTGAGTTAGGGTATCGAGCTCGCAGAGTTGGAACGTCACGCTCTTAATGTACCGGTTCATCTACTTTCATGCCCCCAGTTATGGTCTTTCTTTGCTCCTCAAGATCGACAGGAGTCAGCTGAGTTAGGATGGACATCCGGGTAGGATACCCCTTGGCCTTGATCCTTTGGGAAGTATTCCTGGCATGTACATCAGGAAGAAGAACCAGAGGTAGACTCTGGACACACTGGAGTGATTAGACCTTCCAGGTGCCTCTTTACCAGCAGCTGGGAAAAAACTGCTGCCCAAACCTGGTCAGGCTGAAGAATACGTGACGACTTCAGTCAGCGGGTCAGAATATCTCTAATATCATGTCTTGCCTTGGTACAGATATTCATACAAATTGACCAGGCTCCCCTGTGTGTTTGTTTTCTTTTCATTGTTGTTGATTTTTTTTCATAATATTTGAGTAAACCTTAGGTGTTTTAAAAAGTTTTTTATTCAATTTGTTCTTTTTTGAAAAACAAAACAAATCAGAGCAGTGATGAATTTTTTGGTTGATTCTAACAAAGAGGATTCACACTATAGATCAGTCATTTGTACAACAGGACTTTCAAAACCAAACGTTAGAACCTTTAAAGAAACATCTTTCAGTTAAATTGTAACATAGAGAGCAAACAAAACTTTTAATACAACAATACAGTGATAAATAATCACATTTCACAACAATGAAATACATTTATTTTTTTTGATCTTTAAAGCTTTCTTTTTTGACACTGATGTTGATGTATTCAGTAAAACACCGTGGTTCAGGTTTTGGTTCTGACCCGGGTTCAACCTGTAGACATGTTTTCTTGGATCCAGTCCAGGAAGTTGCTGACTTTGACGTAGACTCCATACATGTTCTCATTGGCACAGCCTTTTCCCCAGCTCACCACACCTGTCAAGAACCATGTCTTCCTGTAGTAGGTCACCAGGGGCCCCCCGCTGTCCCCCGCACAGGCGTCCTGCCGCTCCACCCTGTTCCCAGCACACAGCATGTTCTTGGTGATGTTGAGTTTTGTGTGGAGCCGACACTCCTGGAGGGGGACCCGTGGTAGTACGACACGCTGCAGGAGCCGAGCTGGGGACCCGTTCTGAACCAAACGGCCCCAGCCTGACACTGTAGAGTGTCGGACTGTGGCCAGGGTCCTGACGAAGGTGCTATTCTGGGCTGGAAGACAGATGGGTACCACATAGGAGCCCAGCTTCACTGGGCGATGAAGCTTGAGCAGAGCCAGGTCACTGTCAGAACTGGACTGGTTATAAGCAGGATGGATCAGGATCTTCAGGACCTGACGACGCTGCTCTGTCTTCTCGTCCTCCAGACGGTCGTGTTCACCTTCACAGAACCAGAAAATGTTATGATGGTAGTTTGGGTTTTTATTGTGGATCGAGCCATGGATGAATTCAACTAACTCCAGACTTAAAGTCATTTTTATGTCTTAAGATTTTTATGTCTTGAAATCAGACTTCAAGCCTGAGCTCTATATAAAGGTTCAGACAGACTTCCACAATAGGAGACCACCATTCAAAACCAAACCTGACCCAGCTGACCACAGGAGGCACCAGTGGACCAGCAACTTTCTGATCGGTGTGGTTGAGGTGGTTTACAAATTTCAGCTTCTTGGTGAAAAAGTCTATCTAACAGTGACTAGATAGCAAATCAAAAAGTAATTTATTACCGACAATGACGTGGAAGTTATTTGTAGGTTTCCTCCAGACACAGTGAGCTGCAGTCAGAACCCAATGCTCCGACAGGATGATGGCACCACAAGCGAGGTTATTACTCTCTGTCAGCAAAGCCTGAACAAAGAATGAATGAATGTTTTAAACTTCACTTTTCAAATGAAAATGTGAACACCATTAGATAGACCTACCTGCCATGGACAGTGTCCTTTTGGACAAACCTTTCCATTGACCACTCGTGGTGCAATGTGGACCAGTTGACGTCCACAAACCACAGCCTCTGAATATTAAAACGACATACAGTTGAGCGGAGACGTAAGAACAACATTTTAAAACAGCGTTCACTGAAAGTCTCCTGACCTTGTGGAAGACAGGTACTATTGTCCTGGTCCAGTTTGTATCCTTTGGCACAGAAACAGATGTAGGTACGATCTGGAAGGTCTTTGCAGAAATGTTCACAGCCTCCATTTCTGTAGCGACAGCCATTGGACGTCAGACGAACTGTGGAAAACAGAAAAGAAAGTCTGGTAAATCACTAGGGGAAACTTGTGACTTCAGCTGGGTTCAGACCTCAGACCTTTGTGACAATTATGTCCATGGAATCTGGGCGGACATTTGCAGGCATAGGTGTCAACCAATCGAGTGCAGGTGGCTCCGTTCTTACAGGGAGATGAAAGGCAGTGGTCCACAGCTGAGGAAAGGAGGAACACCGAGTAAACGGACAAGTGAGGACGCCAGTCGCGGTAATATTGTTCTCATTTTACCTGTGTACGACCTCCAGAACGCTTCCTGCAATTACAGGAAATGAATTAGTGAATGAAACAGAAGGAGGCTAAAAGAATGAAAGGTTCTGGGCAAGGTTTTGATCCGAGTTTGCACTAACCAGCTGCTGAGGCAAAGCAAAGATCTCTTTGGCCTCTTCATACGAACATTTCTCCTCCAGACACTCCCGCTCCAGATTTCCTGCTTTCCACTCCTCAAAGAAGTAGGTGTTAGCTCGACGACTACGATGCAGGAAGACGCTAGCCTCAGGTCTGCTCACAAATACTCCTGTTTTTGATTGACACCATTATCAAACGTTCAACCACTAGACGACAAACAGAAGACTTGGGTCTTTACCCGTCGTTTCTCTGGGGTCCAATCATGACAATCATTACAGGTTTCTAGCAGAGCTAGAGTTTCCACAACAACATAGCTGTGTTTTTGTGATTTTTTGGCTAGATATGGCCTTATATGGTGCTTTATTCCTAGCTATATTTTTGGGCTAACATTTAGTTGTTACTCTATTTTTGATACACTATAGCAAAAGTGCATCACTTTTTTTTTTTACTTTTTTTCTTTGCTTTACTGTTTTATTTTGTCTTGCTTTGGGAAACTATTTTGTTTTTATAAAGTACCTACTTTGAAAACATAAATATTATAATACTGTATTTTTTTAATGGCTCATAAAAATCTTTTATGGTATATATATATATATACGGTATTGTCAAACTTTTTTTATTTCTAATTTGGCTATACTGAGATATGCTATATTTGCTAATCTCTCAGGTGAAATTGGCCCTTTCTTTCAGATACCATCTTAGCCAGGTTTATTATGCCAACATCTAGATGTTTTGAGAAGATTCTTATGTTTTTCTGCTTTGTATTAGTAATTGTTGGGCACAATGTATTTTGAAATTGCCAAAATTTTGACCCATTCATTAATCTCATTTTGCGGTGTCTATTTTCTAAACACACATTTTGTTTATCACATTTGTTTATCTTTAGCAGAGCAGCCTACGAACCACAGTTGGACCTCAGAGGAGGTAAATAATTTATTCTATTATAGTCTATTATATTTAAAATCAAACTTTTTTTGAAGGTAAAAAAAAAGGTAACAAATTATGTAGGACTGACCTCCACTGCATACTGCGATAAAGACGATGAGAAACTGCAGGGCGAGAAAGAATCGCCTTGTCTCTTCGTTCACAGACGCCATGTTTGTTCTAAACTTATCAAAGGTTGAAGTCCACACTCTGCCCACAGCATCCTGTGGTTTGGACATCAGCAACTGCAAAACGGCCTGGATGTCGCAGCACCGGAAACTTTTTTGTGTGTGATGGGAGGGCGGGGGGAAATTATGTCAGAAGGCTGCCATTTTGTGTCCACTTTTTATTTTTGTGTCAACATTTTATTTAATATAAAGAGATCAAGATATATTATTTATAATTTAAGGTTATTAAATACATAAAGATTAAACTACAAAAGCTAAAATGAAAAACTAAAATATATGGAATAGGTTTGATTGAAACATTAAGACAGATTCTTGTAATATTGGACAGTCGTCGACTGCTCTCTCTCAGTGCAGGTTCTTCAGAATTAGTGGGATAGCGTCCTGAGCGTCTCTCAACTCCTTCTTCCAGTCGTCTGGGATAAACACACCCGAATATGAGCCGCCAGCCCCTAGCAGCGCCCCAAGTGCTGCACCACGGTTACAGTTCTCACCTACAAGGCAATCAAAGAGACCAAAGATCGATCAAACAAGTCCAAAGGTTTGTCAAAAGTCGTATTTCGACTATTAGTCTACAAATTGAAAGTGGCCCACCATTATACCAATCTACAAGTGGACACATATGATACAAACCTCCACAGTTAGCATTGGTGAGAATCCCTTCTTTAGGGTCATCATGAAACTCATGAGCAAGGTAGAAGAGACTGCAGAGAGCACCTGATGCATCACAGGGAGATGATTAAATATTGTCTTTTCAAAATCATTTCTGCAGTTTCTTTCCTGACAAACAGAAAAACTTCTGACCTTTAGTGTAGCATGCCAAACCTAGATGGTTCACAGCGCTCTGATGCACTTTCAGCCTTTCCTCTGATGATGAAGGAAACCTATGGTAGAAACCATTCACTACTGTTTATTCACATATGACTTCGTCTCTGTTGTTGATCCACTGCTGCCTCCATTACTAAGTTCAGATGTGTTATTTTGTGTGCTTTCATGGTGACTCCTCGTTCTTTTCAAAATTATGTCCAAAAGATTACTGTGAAAATGCCATACGTCATACCCTTCAGCTTTGTGACTGTATTCCTGACAGACGTCCCAGACATCTAGGTTCCTGAGAGCGTGTTCTGCCTGCTGGCGCACACTAGCGCCTCTCAGCACGGCATACAGGGCTTTACCATATAAGGACATGTACTTGAGCACATTTGGATTAGGATGGGTGAGCTTGACAAACTCCACCGCAGCAGTGACCTGAGTAAATAGAAAAGACAATAAAAATTTAAACCATAAGGAGACAATATTTTTCTACAACTTCAAGCAGAAACTCACAGCCTGCTCTTCACTGACTGAAGTTGAGAACAAAATAAAGGGGAGGGCCATGGGCATGCAGCCGATGGCATCAAGCTGGCTGTCAGGTTGCGAGGAGCTCAGCTTCAGTTTTGCACGTTTTTCTGCAAATAGCAGAACCTAAGAATGAAGAGAACACTGTGATTCATCGTCAGAAAATCAGCTGTGACACAACAACACAGCTTTTCTTTTACTTCACTGGGCAGGTTAGGTCTGCTCTCCCTCCAGTCAGCAAAAAACGAACGGTGGAAGGACTCGGCATAGGTGTCGTTGTGGTTTCCAGGCGTGGTCAGGAACTGGACATAGTCTGACAGTACGGCAGCTCGAGCCTCTGGATGAGCAGCGTCAGTGAAACCACTGCAGGCCAGAGTTTGAGCTGCTCTGAGGGCACAGAGGATGTTCAGGGTGTTGTTACCGGCCTGGAGCCCTAGGAAAGATGCGGAACAGACTCAGGGCTGTCTTTGTAAATCCAAAGTGATACTAGCATTCTAATAGGAACCCAAGTTACCTTGGTGATAGTGGACTGAGCCGTTGGAGGACTTCCACAGTTTCAGCTTATCATGCAGGATGATGTCACCGACCACATCATCATCCTTCGTACCAGAAGAAGAGGAGCTCCGACCACTACCAGCTGAAACAACAAACAGACACATCAGCATAATGATGTAGACAAATTAGTGTAAGTACCTAGAGAGGATATACCAGTGTTGGAAAGTGTTGGATGGGTCATAATAATGTAAGTACCAGTGTTGGACAGAGTGAGGATACTGGACGGGTGTCTCTCTCTTGGTGAGTGAAATCCGGCTATCCAACCTTTGAAGTCCTTACTGATGTCCTGGATGTTGTAGTACCAGTGGACAGGCATGGACAGAGAATCAGCCGCACACATGCCCCACAGAGACTCCATCACCGCCTGTCGAACCTGTGATGCCTCACCTGGAGTGCATGTTCGCCTATATTTTAGCTTATTGTTGCTTGAATTGTTGTGTTTTTGAGTCTTAAAGATGTCCAAAAAATAACAAGAAACTTGTCTCACCTGTCATGACTCCTGTCGCCTTTTTCATAATGAACCCTTCACGCGTTGCTTGCTTAAAATGACAGAAAGCGACTGTCAGCACCTTCAAATTCACAATAAAATTATAACATGCTACGTTAAAACACGAAACAGTTTTAACATAGCATGTTTTAACATAACACTCACCAACGCGGTTCGGCTTGTTCTTTACTCCACTTTAAAGCAGTTTTAGTTCATGTTTAGTGTTCTTGTTGAATAATGGTCTCTACGGTGGCCGGCGTTGGTCGTATCTGAAATAAATGGTTGGTTTTGATGTCCTCAGCGTTGACTGTCAGGCGGAGAATGTGGATATCATTTCTGCCCAAGCTTAAATAAATAAAAAGGATATACATATTTACGTTGTTAATTTTTTATACATGTAATTACTTGTTAATTTGAATTTCATATATTATGTATTATATCGAACAAAAGTAAGTGTTTTTTCATTCAATTTTTCATACTCACACTTGTCTGTGGAGCTACGGTGGCCGTGTTTGGACATTAGAGTGCGACGTTGTGACGCGGTATTTACGGTTATTCAAACAAACTTCGACGGATAAATGGCCAGAAATATAGTTGGTTAATTGGGGGTTTCGACTAATTAATTTGCATTTACTCAACTGCAGTGAGCTATAGCGGTTCACATGTCACAGGTTTGCAGCTAGTCGATACCCTGGCAACTCGAATGCATGTTAGCCAGCTTCCGTGCTCAGTTTAAAATATACACATAATTTACTTAAAAATAAAAATGATTTTAAGCAGTATGATTCTTTATTTCTAAGCTTATAATTGTCTTTTAAAAAACCTTAACTCGACTGTATTCTGGCCTCCGAAGTTAGTTGCGTCCCACATGGAATTACTTAGCTGCTACATGGATAAAAAATTCCCACAATTACTTAGCTGCTACATGGATAAAAACAAAACAGGCGCAGTTATTTTTTTTTCTGTTTACTTTTCAAATGTTTCTAAATTCTTCTTTGAGGGAGAATCAATAAAATGCTGAACGTATTTTTATACGCTTTATCCGTTAGCGTTATCCATTAGCTCCTGCGAAATTGCTACTAAATTGATACCGAGTTTTTAAAGCTACGTATTTCCACTCCGTCTGTCTATTTTTTTAATCGTCTGCTTTTGGCTTAAACACTGCTGCTCATAAGTATTAAAGGGCTAAAGTTCTTTTGTGTCAGCATGGAAAAAGAAGTGTTGAAGCCTCGGGATATTGGTGAGAACCCATGTTTATTACGTATTTCTACCGTTGTGGCCATTTTCTTTCTTCAAATTCTTAGCCTTGGGCGTTGTGTTGCAATTCTATATATTATTGTGATATCTTATTTCAAAAGGATAGGCGTCATTATCAATAAAAGATACACAAAATGAAGGAAGAACAGCCAATTAAAACAGAAGAGACAAAAATAGCTAGATGGCAAAAACAGATTATATTTACCTTTTTTCTTATATTGTCTTTTAACATGTCAGAATAAACACTATCCTATTTTATTAATAGGAGTGCCATGATTTTTCTTCCCACAGAGAGGGCTAAAAACTACTGGGCTGAGCAGGATCTGGATCAGGTCTTTGATTGTGTTTCTGTGTTCCTGATTCACCTGAAGCAGGCCTTAAAGAAGGAAATAGCCACAGACAGAGGTCAGAATTGTTTGTTGTACTTAATTTCTCTGATGAACTGTCAGACATGTCTTGTCGTTTCATTCTCCAGAAATGGTTCAAGCCTTCAGGGTGGTGGAGTCTCTGGACTGCTTGTCTCCTGTTTCGACTCAGAACCCAGTGGTGGTCCAGGTGGTCATTGGTACAAGTCCTCTCTGGTTGTGGATTCTGGATCGTTACCATAATAAAAATGTTGGTGTTGACAATAATTTTTTTTCCTCACCACAGATGAGCAGCTGCAGGAGAACATTCACATTCACACTCCATCACCTCTTCCCTCTGATGCTCTTGCCTCCACCAAAGTTGTAACAAATGGCCCATTCAGCACCACTGCACTACCTGCTGGCACACCGGCAGCGCTAGTATCTGTTCACACCTGCAACAAGGTAACAACGCCATCAGAGCATTACCATCACTACAGTCATCACAAGTCATCACAACTGGAGTTTTCTGTCTGATTTTACCCTCTAGTCCAGGGGTGTCAAACTCATTTTCACCAAGGGCCACATCAGCAATACAGTTCCCCCTGAAGGGCCGGTTATAAATGGAAGACTGTATAGATCAGGGGTCCCAACCCAGGTCCGTGGACCAGTACCAGTCCATAGGTCATTTGGTACCGGGCTGCAGTGGGACACAATGAAAAAATGTACTTTTTTTTTTAGTAATTTACTTAATTCAAGAAAGTCCAGTCATATCCATTTACTTTATTTATTTTACGATAATCTGGCAAAAGATGATCTAATTTTAAAATAACATAAAATAACATTCAGACTCTGATACAAACAGATTTTTATTTTGAAAATTGAATGATCCTTCAATGCTCAGCACCTTGCTATTGGTCCGTAGTAACAGGTGGTACTAGCTGACCAGTCCTTGGAACAAAACATTTTTTTAACAACCGTTGGACTAGCTTTTAACTGATAACAGTCCTTTCTCAACCTTATGTTGTGAACCATCTCCTTGTTCCCTTTTGCAGGCCTGTCTTTCTAGATTACCCAGCATTCCTGAGTCAACCCCTCCATTCTGGGATCAGAACCCTCTGTTGGTGCCACTGCTGTGTGGCTTCACCAGGCTGAGTGCTGTGCCACTGATGCCAGTCGGGTTGGAAGAGCCCCCACCACCTCAAGAAATTCTTTACAAAGCACCATGTGGACTAACACTGTGCAACCAGGAGGAAGTAATGCGTTTCCTGCGGACGACTGGCTCCTACAACACCCTGCAGGTCAGCAGAGGCCACTACACAATTTAAGTCTTTGTGAATATTTCATACCTAAAGTACCTTTAGAGTAATTCCTGAAAACTCAGAGTTAGCCATTAGAAACTTAATATTAGCAGTAAATACACAAAAGTGAAAATTCTTAAAAGATAATAAATGTTAGCCCTGAAATAGCTTCCATAACTAGCTTCTTTCTTAAACAGAGATTGAAACAGCAATAGTTCATAGTTTTTAGACCTAATGCTTTCTCTAACACAAAATCTCCCATGTTTCACCTGTGTTAGGAGTTGGGGTCAGGCATATTTGAATTACAAAGCTTCTGTGAGTGAAAGTAAATTCACTGGTAACCCGAAACTGAGTAAAAGCCATTTAGCAAAAAAGTTAAAACATCACTTCTTAATTGTGATAATTGTGCCCTCTGCAGGTAGATTTTTTTACCTTTAGCCCCACACTGAAGTTGGACGCCCCTACTTTATCAGGCCTTAAACGTCCAGAGGTGGACCTTAGTCGTGGGATAGAGCCAATTCCTGTAGAACTGTGCCCGAAAGAAGTGGGCGCTTTGCCAGCAGAATTTCGCTACCGAAAGGACCGCTGGCCACACGGCTGTTTCCTCAGTCGAAACCCTTCACTCTTCAACGCCTGCTGTGACTGCGTAGATGGCTGCACAGACCCCCAGCGTTGCGCCTGCATCGCACTGACCATGAGAGGTCGCCACTACATTCACCACAGACTGATGGAGCCTGTTCCCTCAGGGTGAGAAACCAAACGCAGTTCATTCAGGGATACAGTTTTACAGACTTAAACTCATTTTAAGTTCAAGTGTGTTTTGGTTATGTTATTCACCCACTTATTTAACAACTTTTGGCTGACTTTAATTATTTGGATCTTTTGTTTTATTTTTCATAATACATATTTTGGCAAATGTTTAGGATTTATGTTAAAAATTATAATATATTACAAATTATAATTATAATACAAATTAGCCTAACATATATATTTTATGTATGATTCATCAGTAACACGCAATTCTCTGTGGGTTCATCTGTGTTGTCTGATAAAATGGCATGTGTTTGTGTTTGTGTGTGGTTCAGTGTGTATGAGTGTGGTCCTTGGTGCAGCTGTGACCGATCTCTTTGTCAGAATCGTTTGGTCCAGCGGGGAATCAGGATTCGCCTCCAGGTTTTCCAAACAGACCAGTGTGGCTGGGGAGTTCGCTGCCGTGACGACCTGGACCGTGGCACCTTTGTGTGCATCTATGCAGGTGACCACCACGTTTGCCGATCACAACAACTGTTGGCAAACAGTGTTACTCTACACTGATTTTTCTGTAAAAAATATTTTGGTCAAGTGTGAAGTATAATAAATGCTGTGCTGATGATATTCAGGTGTGATCCTGCAGCGCCTCCTGTCGGCCACTGAGCCAACACCACCCAAGCTGATACGTTGCGATCTTCCCTCTGATGACGATGTGGAGGTGGTTACTGAGTGGCTGGCTCCACCCATCCTGGAGGCACGGAGCACTTCAGCGCAGACGTTGCCTCCAGCCCAGTCTTCTTCCACCTCACCTCCACTACACATGCCCGTGATCCAAAGGTCAGGAGAAGCTACTGCTCACACCACAGAAGCTGTCATCCAGGTGAGGATGATGTTTACACATGACCTGCTGAAAAAATAAATGTTTGTATAACCAAAAAAATAAAACTTGGCTTTTGATCTTTCAATTAGGGACCACAACTGACAGAAACAGTGCCTCCTGCAGGTAAGAAAAACCCTTTCTAACAGGAAAAGGTTTGTTTTATTTAAGAAAAACACCATCAAAGTTAATCACACTTTAGTTCAATAACAAAAAGAAGACCAATGTTTCTCACAGTTGACCAACAGAGTGGTGTAAATGTGATGAAAATGATACAAAATCAAAGTTAACACAAAGTTAAAAAAAGTTGCATGTTATATATTTATAAACTATATATATATATATATATATATATATATATATATATATATATATATATATATATTTAATGAAATGGTAATATCGCAATTTAGAACCTCACATCAAGAATGGACAAAAGAAGGAGAGCCGGTCAAACCTGAAGCGAGTCGCAAAGATGGAGGACGTTTATCTCCTGGACGCCAGCAAGGAAGGGAATGTGAGCCGATTCTTCAACGTGAGTCCACAGTGATGACATCATCGTCCAATGTTCAGATTTATGTTTTCTAACTTTGTGTATCTGTTGACAACAGCACAGCTGTGAGCCAAACATGTTTGTCCAGAACGTCTTCACTGACTCTCATGACCCCGGCTTCCCTGTCATCGCCTTCTTTACTAACAGGTGTGGCCACGCCCACAGTCACTGCACTGTTTGACTGTTTGTGTTTTTGTTTATATTTACCATCTGGATTTTTGTTGGTGAACAGGGAGGTGAAGGCTGGCACTGAGCTAACATGGAACTACTGTGACAACGTTCTCACTGCATCGCTGCAGAAACAGGAAATGCAGTGTCTGTGTCGCAGTAATAACTGTCAAGGACAGTACATCGTTGAGGAAAACTTGTGCGATCTCTGCGACATTAAAGGTCACACAGACACAGAGGCTTAGAAATCAAATGTTTTACACTTGATTTTTTTTTTCACTGTTTTGTAATACACTTGTGTTGCTTTCCTTCTTACAATAAAATCCCCTTTTGTACACCAGGCTCTTACTTTGATATGAGTGGTTAAAGTAAAGTATAATAGTAAGAAACGTTTTTATTGGGAAATTCATATTATATATACATATATGTATATATAGGTGAATTGTATTCATATATAACGTTTGTAGGGTGTCTTGAACAGATGTCTTTTATTTTGAAAATTCGGAAGGCGGAGTTTTTGTGCGTCATAACCCTTCACTGGTAGTGGCTGATTGTTTATGTGGTCTTCTCCAAGTCATGTCACTTCTCGAAACACTGTGATCGATCATGAGGGCCTCTACTCAGCTGGTATGTCTTCTGCTCCTCGGCCTCATTTGCTCTCCGGCCGCGGCTTCACACTGGTTCCGAATTCCGCCTCACGAGGAAGTTGCTCGTGTCGCCCGTTTCATCGTGCATCAGTGCGACTGGGCCTCTCTGGCCACCATCTCTACGCACAAGCCGGTGGTGGGACAGCCGTTCTCCAACGCTTTCTCCATTAGCGACGGCATCCAGGGCTTGAGCTCAGGAGTTCCGTACCTGTACTTGACCGAGATGGAGATCTCCGTGCAGGACCTGAAGGTATAAATGACCCGTGTCACCGAGCCAAAAGGTTCACGTAACTTTTCTAACAAAAGTGGTTCGCCACAGAAATACTGACAAATTACAGAAGTAAGAGCTTGTTATATTAACATTACCCGGGTTTATCCGAAGTTTAAAATACGCCAAAGGGTTTATAACAGTTCATTTAACTGCGCATGAAGTGTATGTGATTGCTGCGTGGGTCAAATAAACAATGACTCAGCAATTTGAAAAGAGTGACGAAGCAATTTCTGTTTTGCCAAAACAGCTGACGATAAACTGAAATACACGTAGAGCTTTAACTTTTGTTACAATTCCGAATTTAAAACGAGGATGGTGATGAAAGTGTTTATTCTTTATTTTTATATGTATATACTTTTTTAAGAATTCCAATTTTCAAAAGTTAAAAAAGGCTTAACCAAGGTAAAATATTTGTTAACAAAAACGTGAAGGTGACAAGGTCTGAAGAAAAACATGAATAATTCCTAGAAAATGTCGAAGGTCACAAATTAAAAGGGGTCACTTTGTCACATCTGTACTGTAGAGATAGTCTTCTCTGGCTTTTTAAGTCTTGCATAAAGAGTGTCTGCTGCCCCCTTCAGGTGAATCCGAATGCCTCTCTGTCTATGACTCTGGCTCAGACAGATTACTGTCGTCAGCAGGGCTTCGACCCTCAGAGTCCACTCTGTGCTCGTGTCATCCTGTCTGGATCCGTATTGCCGGTACACACACACACACACACATACACATACAGACAGACCTTTGTCACATGACTGAGTCCGTGCGTGACTACTTCTTCTTTCTGCTGACCTGCAGGTTAATGGCAGTGAGGCAAGGTTTGCCAAGCAGGCTCTGTTTACCCGGCACCTGGAGATGATCGACTGGCCCTCAGGTCACGGCTGGTTCTTCGCCAAGTTCAACATCACACAGGTGATTCACACACTTCCTGTATCTGAGCCGCTGAAGGAAGAAAGTAGGAAGCCCTGTTGGTGATACCAATCCCTTTTCCTGTTTCAGGTTTGGATCTTGGATTATTTTGGTGGCATAAAGACAGTCTCTCTGGACAAGTATTTCCACGCATCACCGTACAGGAAGTACCTCTGATGGTCAAAGCCCCACCCCACCTGTCAAACTCCAACACTTTATTATGTGGTCTTTATAAGTGTGGTGAAACTATACTACTATACTTTATGAACAGTGTTTTGTTTCTGAACAGTAAATGGAATTATATATATATATATTTTTGGATTAAAATCAATCAAGTTTTTACAAATTCAAATGCCTTGTTTTCTCTTTATTTAAAAGCTCTCCCTCGTACCCAGGCCCATAGTGAAATTAAATCATTTATACTCACAGCAGTTGTTGATCCCTGCCTGCGTCCATCTCTCCATCACAGGTACAAAAGTGCTCTTATTATTGGTTGTCTTTGATTTTAAATTAATCTTATTTGACGACTGAATCAATAAATAGTCATACTGCTGAACTTTTACAACAAGAGAAAACATTCTTCACCAACTTGTTTTGTCACTGATGTCACTCAGTTTATGATGTGAATCTTCAGCAGTGGTTGAAGTCATTGGTTTTCTCTGTAGACCTTGTTGGAGAGGGAGTGATTTACAAACTACATGTTCCTGTATAGAAATCTTTATCGTTTTTTGGCGCTTTACATCATTTAATAGAGAAAATCAGCAGTTGGACTTTAACTGTGAGTAAAGACTGTTGGTGTCGGTGTGTGCCACTGTGTACGTGGGTAAGTTTCAGCTCCATTTCTCAGCAGCCTCACCACTTCCTGCGTCACTGGTTGTCTTCACAGTTTTCTTCAGTTTTCTTCTCAGTCAGCGTTGAAGGTTGTGATGGTGGCTGTGTCTCAGACATTCGGAGTTCTTCTGCTTCTCACCAGCGTCTTCGCTCAAGCAGGTCAGAACCAGAACGCGTGAGAATGATATTCCATATATGTAGGAAGATATTCAAATCTTTACTTTAAGCTTGTTTTTTTTAATACATAAAATTAGATTGGATTGAGAAGCAGGAAGAACCGTTTGGCAAACAAAGGCTTGGAAACAAACAAAAACACACTGCGTAGATCTGGAGCCAAAACCGTTTGGGCTGATTTTGTCCTTTGTTCAAAATAAAGCCAAAAATAAAGGTTGCGGTCCCACATCTGGGTCCAAACCTTTTTAGAAAAAGAGTTTTTTTCAGTTTATCTTCTGAGCCAAACCTTGGTGATTTTTTCAACCATCACCAAATGATCATAGAATCATAGTCAAACTGTGTCTCTGCCAACAGAAAAAATCTTTGTTGTTTTCTCTGTTGACAGTTCACTCTTCACCCATTGATTTAAATAAAAAAAGTAAAAAAAAAGAAGAAAATATATATAAGTAAAGTAAGTTAATTACAGGCTACGTTCAACTGATTAGCTGAAATACTTTAAAGTACCTTTTGTTTTTCCTGCTCACTTACTAATTTCTGGATAAAAGCAAATTAACAACTAATATCTGTGATAAATATTTCTGTTCTACTTCAGAAATAATCAGTCACAATCTTTTGTGGTTTATCTGTAATTGTTGGTACAAGGGTCATTTAAATTTAAATATTTATATTTCTGTGAAACAAATATTTATGAAAATGAAGAAAGGCTATTTTTCTACACATAAAATTAAAATAATAACTTGGTGTCTCTATCAGATAATTGTTTCTATGTAGAATTCTAAATGTTCTTTTGGTTTTAGGAAAAGAAGAAGAAATCAGATGTAGAAAGATCAAAAACTGTTGCGAAGCTTGAATTTTAAATATATTGTTACATATATTTTTTATATTATATTTATTAGGTAAACTACTTTTTACATATCAGAGGCGTGTAGATCATTTCCCTTCCCTTGTGTGTGGTGCTGTAAGCCTACATAAACCTACATAAATGTCCCGTTCTGTGAGCGGAGTGCCCTCTGTGTCAACCATGTTTTTTCAGTGAAACTCAGCATCAAAATGTGCAGTTTAACATTGTCCAAAGAAAAGAAAAACAACTCGTGAGAAAATGTTCCGGTGGATCAATAAGTACATTTTATTTGTTCTTTTTATGTAGAATTTCTGTTCTTGAATTTTTTTAATTTAAAAAGTATTTCATAAAAACTCATATTCACAGGTTCTGATCACTTCAAAGATCACCCCACAGGAAGTGACTTTGTGGTTCTTTAGCTCTACCTTCCTGGAGGTAGATTCGTGTTTATGAAGCTGCTCCACTGTTACAGAAACCTGTCAGTTCATTTTGTGATGTTCACTACTCTTGAGATAAAAATCTTGTTGGTAACGGAAAAAAAACAAACAGCTGCAGCACCTCCCCTCCCCTACACCACTGTTGGCAAGAAATAAAAACACAATATAAAAAACATCTATATTTAATTTTTTTGTTTATATAACCGCTCACTATCCCACTCCAAACCCTGTAGAGCAAATGTGTCAAACTCAGACCCAGGGACCAAGTCTGGACCACAGTGTAATTATATTTGCCCTACGAGATCATATCAAATGTGTACTAGAGTTGGTCCGGCAGTATATAGCCCCTATATACTGGCTACATTTGTAGTATTAGCAGTGTATGCACTATGTTATAGCACATACATTTGTTTTTGTTTGTTTGTTTTTTTGGCCTGTGAAAAGAAAAGATTTACATTAAAATGGAACGGAAAAGCTAGAGATATAGAAATAATAAGAAACAAATACAACTGATGTGTGTTTTATTTGTAAGTTTGTCCAGTGACTTCATCCCAGTTTTTAATTTTGGCCCGCTGAATTTGAGTTTGACACCCCTGCTGTAGAGAGAAACGATGACATCAGCATTCAGAAAAACCATTGTCCTTTTGCAACACTAGTCACTGTATTTATATATATTTTTTTAGATAGTTTGTAGGTCGTTATGCATTTTCATAGAAGAAATTCTTCTTTTATGTTAACATGTTTCAAAGTCAGTGCATCATTTTGTGAAGTGAGATACTGTAGTTAGTTACAAATGTTTTGGTATAGCAAAGTATACATTTTATTATACATTAAACTAAATGTTGGAACATTTCTGTTTCCTCTTATACATGTTTGAACTGTGACCTATGACCTGTGCAGACGCCATGAAAATGTATGAGCCCGGTTTATGTTTCATCCTGGATGGTTTTCTGGGTCTGTACGGCCTCTTCATTACCGGCTTGCTCATAAAAGAGAAGGTGAGTAGCTACATGACTGTGATATCAAAACGATGCAGTGGTGGCTTCAGAGCTGCCTGACAGTAACAGCGTCACCGCATCACAGCTGCAGCCCAGTGACATCACAGTTAAAGCAGCGCTAACCTACATGTTCCAACTGTTAATCGTGGTCATACGTTTTTCTGCAGTTTTTCAAAAGTAAGACGATGTCAGTGGAGGAAGGTCTTTATCATGACCCGAGGGGTCAGAGTGATGGAGGGTACGACCAGCTGCGGCAGCAAGAGAGAGGACGAGTGAGTTACATTTTCAGAGCCATGATTACTTACAGAATATTATGTGTAAAAATGCTGCAAATATTTTTCAGAAATAAATAAATAATGTGGCTCTTGTTACATCTTTTATTATGAAAATCTAAATCAGTAACATGTTTTTTTTTTTGTACTTTAACAGAATCGCTTGGCTAATAACGACGAAACGTACACGGTAACAAAAAAAAATCAACCTCTCTACTCTTTTCTTAAGCACTCTTTTATTTTATTCTGAAAGGTATCTTTTATACATTGTGTAAGTTCTTATTATGTTGGAGAATGTTTTTAATTGAGATTTCCGGTTGGTCTTTTCATGTATTTTGCCAGTGTTTTGATCCATACTTTTATTTTGAAGGGTATATATTGTGAGAGAACATTGTTTCTTATCCATACTCTTATTTCCAAAGGGCCTGACCAGACGTACAGAGGGTGAATATAAGGAACTTCCGATCAAGCGGGAGGTGAGGTTTACACTTGTTTTTACGTTATCGTACATTGCGACAAATGAGTTTAACTTTAGAAAGACATTTAAATAGATTAAGAAAGAATATGTTACTTTATTCATTATTAAATTAAATGTACCATTTAAAAAACACGTATTTTATGTTTTGTTGTTTGTTTTCTTCAGCGTCAGAGGAAAAAGGAAACCGTTTATCAGGTGAGATGTTTTTACGGTAAAATATCTTTATGAAGTTTCTTTAAAGTCATTATGATGTTCTAAATAAAACGTTAATGTTAACAATTTTAACAGTGTATAATTACATTGTTTGTAAAATTAACATTTATTTAGAGTTAGTTATCGTTTTTATAGTTACTTTAGTAACTATAAAACTATACAGTTAACTATATAGTTAACCACAACTATACTACTATAAAGTTATATATTACCTTTGGTAAATCTAGTTGTCCAATTTGTAAAATTATAGGGAAGTTTTCCAAAGCTTCTACTGTATAGCTATTTGTACTGTACTTTTGTAAAGTTAACGTTGAATAAATAGCTTTACATTTTTGTAATATTCTAGCACATTACTTTTAGTGACATGTTTTATAAAGTTAGTTATTTATTCCCATCACTTTGGGTTCAAGGTTTTGAAATGATTTGAAATATTTTGGTTGAATAAGTTAGGTGTTTTGTTATTTGACTGGTTTAGTCATTTAATTACTTTTTTAATTTAGTGATGTATAAACCCATTAATTGATTAACAAACTACATCTCTATTTTGATTGATAATTCGATCACTGATTGATGGCTTGATTGATTCTTCAGGATCTCAAGTCGGCCTCCAGAGACACCTATGACATTCTGCACATGCAGCCACCTTCAGGTCGTTAGCACTGCCTCTGTGGGGTCACTTGCACATTTTTTTTGTTTTTTTGTTTTTTTTTTGTTTGACAAAATATTTTTGGTTCATCATAGATAAGATTTTTTTGTTTTTTCTATTGTTTGTGCTTGAGTTTTCAAAATAATTTTTTTAGAGAGTGTTTTCTCATAAAGATGAACAATTCTTTATTGATATTAAAACTTTAATAAACTGACAGAGATTTGTCCTCATTTTGACTCAAAATAAACACAACATGGGGGAAATTATTCCAGAAACATCACACAATGACCTTCAGATGATACTGCTGTAGATGTCCATTAACTAATGGGATAACTTAATGATAAACTCAAGTCAGGTGTCCAGAACTGGTCCACACATCTTATTACAGTAAAGTGTCTAAACTGGTCCAAATATGAGTTCAAATCCTCACTAGGTTCACTGTGGTTTATTAAAGTTAGACATAATCAATGACAGTATTTTTGATAAACTACTTTAATGGTTTCTCAACAATAAAATATTACTACTAATAATAATATTACCGATAATAACAAGTTGTTAATATTCTAACAATAATATAATGCGTGAGTGTGTGCATTTGTGTGTGTTGTGATATTAAATAGATGTGTGTTGTGGGTGGAGCCTACAGCAGCAGAAGGTTCATTGTCTGAGCAGCAAAGAGCGAGCAGAAGGAGGGATGGTAGAGCGGGGTTAACAAAGACTGCAGAGTGAGAGAGTGGGAGAGCGAGCGAGAGACAAAGAGGAGGAGGAGGTATTCAGTCTCCCTCTCTTGTTCTGCGTGTGTGGGGGGGAGGATTAACGGGCTGATCTGAAACACACACACACATTAAATATCAACACACGCACACACTGTGTAGTTTCATTTGGATCAGCTTCATCATCATCATCCCCATCACCATCAGAGGAGGAGGAGGAAGAGGAGGAGGAGGCAGCAGCGAGTGAGGACGGGAGACAAAGAGACAGACAGAGGGAGAAATGGGCCTGGTCTGGTCTGGTCTGGGTTAACCCTGGTCTGGGTTGGTCCTGGTCTGGCTCAGTACTGGTCTGCCTGGACCAACTGTTTGTGTATGTGATGGCAGAGCACATGTGTGTGTCTGTTATGAGTGTGTATTTGTAGGTGGGTGTGTTCAGTGTGTTCGCGTGTGTGTGTCTGTGTGTGTGTGAGAGATGGGGAACACCGAGAGCATGGAGTCTCAGTTGGCCGTGATCCGGTCCAGAGCTGCTCCGGTTCGGCTCCCGATGCCAGATCCTGCTGAGCTGGAGGAACGGTTTTCCATCGCACTGGTGAGTTTGCATGTGCAAGAGCACACACTAATTCACACACACGTACACACACACACACACACACATATATACATACTCAGCATTACCAGTAATGTTAACATCTGACCCAGATTTTTACCATCACATCCACATTGATGCCCCAGTCTGGGTCCTGTTCCATTTTGCTCGTGTCTGGTTTGGTCTGTGATTTGGTTGTGCACCTGCACTGAGGCTGACGGCTCAGTCCTAGCCATCTTTCATGTCCAGTCAAAGAGCTTCATCTGCTTCAGGTTTTAGATTCATTAACAGAAAACAGGATCTAGTCCAGATGATGGCGTTAACTGGATTCTGAACCGCAGAGCCCCATGAATCACATGGTCCAGTGTCAAAACAAGCCCATGTTACATACAAGTATTACGTCCACAGCATGGTCAGTAACTGGAAAGCAGGGCTGTGGACCCATCTTCATGTGACCTCTTTTTTGTCCAGAATTCGATGAATCTTCCTCCAGACAAAGTTCGCCTTCTTCGTTCCTATGACAATGAGAAGAAGTGGGAGCTGATTTGTGACCAGGTCTGGGCTTCTGTTTGTTTGTTTTTTCATTTGTTTCACTTATTGTTGACTACATTTACAAGAATCCATCGATGGTGTTTTCTGGTGATGTAGGAGAGGTTTCAGGTGAAGAATCCTCCACATACATACATCCAGAAACTCAGAGGGTTCCTGGACCCACAGGTCACACGAAAGGTAACTGTCCAACTGTCCAAGCGTTTGATCGACCGCCCAGTCATTCAACTGCCCCAAACCACTGTCCAACTGTCTCTCTGTAAATTGTCGTTCTATAGAAGTTCCGTAGACGAGTTCAGGAGTCGACCCAGACTCTCAGAGAGCTGGAGATCTCACTGCGAACCAACCACATCGGGTATCTGTCTCATCAACTGTCTCAATACACGTCAAACCACTGTCTCAGCAGTGTCGCATTACTCATCTGTCTGTCTCTGTCTTACCTGTCTCTGTCTTTGAGCACAGGTGGGTTAGAGAATTCCTGAATGAAGAGAACCGAGGGCTGGATGTTCTGGTCGAGTATCTGTCCTTTGCTCAGTATGCTGTCACGTGAGTTACTGTCCTCTATATTTTGACATTTCATGTATGGTCTAAGGTCAAAGGTGAACTCATGTCTCTGTGACCGTTTAAGATTTGACGGAGAACAGTCAGAGGTTGGAGGTGACTCCTCGTCTATTGACTCTCCGTGGAGTCGTTCCATTGAAGATCTCCACGGTGACTGCAGTCTTCCCTCTCCGTCTTCCTCTGCTCCGCGGGCGTCTCGTCACTCCATCAGGTGGAGTACTTTTTAAAAAGGTGAAGCCAGCAAGTCCTTCTCCAGTCTGACATGTTCCCTCTGACCTTTCAGCTCCACCCTGGTCACTCGTTCTAACACTCTGCCCAGTCGCCGCACACTGAAGAACTCCAGACTTGTCTGTAAGAAGGACGATGTCCATGTCTGTATCATGTGTCTGAGAGCCATCATGAACTACCAGGTACCAACACTCACTTCATCAATCGGTACTCAGTGGACTTATGAAGGTACTGATCTTCCTGCTGTTCTTTAGTATGGGTTCAACATGGTGATGTCACATCCTCATGCTGTCAATGAAATTGCCCTGAGCCTGAACAACCGGAACCAGAGGTTGGTAACCAAAGGACACACAGACATAAACAGATAACAAAAAAGACCTCCCTGATTTTGCCTCAATTCCTCAGGACCAAGGCTCTGGTGCTGGAACTGTTGGCTGCCGTGTGTTTGGTGCGAGGCGGTCATGAGATCATCCTGATGGCCTTTGATAACTTCAAGACGGTAAAAAAATGTTTAGTTCTCCTGTCAACACATTAATCAATCACTGATTCATGACCAATCCTCAAGTCGTTGGGTATCGATATATTGCAGGTTTGTTCAGAGTCGCTGCGTTTCGAAAAGTTAATGGAACATTTTAAGAACGAGGACGACAACATTGACTTCCTGGTATGTTAATTCAACCACTGGTCAATAACTTCAAAAATCTTAGAAAAATGATTGATCTGTGATAAATGTCTGGTTAGATTTCATTTAGAAGTTTCCACCCTGTTCACAGGTGGCCTGTATGCAGTTCATCAACATCGTGGTCCATTCAGTGGAGGACATGAACTTCAGAGTCCACCTTCAGTATGACTTTACCAAACTAAACCTGGATGACCACCTAGAGGTAACAAGGCACACGATACCTTCACAGCTCCTCTCGTGACACAGGTACCTATGGACGCCTGTCTGTTTTTGTCATCTCCAGCGACTGAAAAACACTGAGAGTGACAGGCTGCAGGTCCAGATCCAGGCCTACCTGGACAACGTGTTCGATGTTGGAACTTTGCTGGAGGATGCTGAGACCAAGACGGCTGCCCTGGAACGAGTGGAAGAACTAGAGGAGAATCTGACCACGGTGAGACAGACGAGTGTAAAAAGGGAAAAAACAAGGTTAGACAGACAGGTGGACACAGGTGAGACAGACAGGTGGACAGAGGTGAGACAGAAAGGCAGACAGAAGTGAGACAGACAGGCAGACAGAGGTGAGACAGACAGGTGGGCAGAGTAGAAACAGGGTAAGACAGATAGGTGGACAGGGGTGGTGACTGTCCTTCTATATTATAGGTGGATGTGGAGACAGTGAGACAGGAAGTAAAACAGTCCATCATTGACAGAGATATTTATCTCAGTGATGATGGACTGTCTCAATCTGAGCCTCTTCCCACAGATGTCCGAGCGTCTTGTGGACGTGGAGAATGAAGCCATGCTAAAAATTGTCGAACTGGAGAAAAAGCTGATGCAAACCAACAAAGACCTGGACCAACTGAGGGTCGGTTCCCATGGAAACCAACACACCAGAATCTCCTGTTGTCATAGCAGGTCATCTAATGTCCCCTGTCTTAATTGAACAGGAGGCTTACAGCAGCGCTAATGCTCAACTTGTCACATTGCGACGTATGGTGCGGGAGAAAGATCAGACAATAAATCGGCAGAGTCTCCTGGACCGGCAGAGTCAATCAGAACACCAGGATCCAGGTGTTGGACACACAGGCGAAGATGTCACACCACAACTACAGAGAGGACAGGGAGACGGGGGCGTGGCTGAGTCTGCCTCTCCATCATTAAACATGACCAACACCAGTAACAGGTACCAACTGTCATCATCAGAACATAAAATAAAAGAGAAGGGAATTTATTAATAACATTAATAACTGATTATTCATTAAATCCCTCAGCTTTGAATCTTCAGCCTATCAAAGCACAGAGCCAGTGATGGGCGGAGCTCCTAGTCTGCTGGTTCCACCCCCTCCCCCTCCTCCTCTGCTCGTGTCAGGTGAGAAATGGCTGACGATGAGAGAGCTTGTCTCTGTCGGTTGAACTGACTCTGTCCTTTTTCCTTGTTTATAGATTATCTCACACCTGGTCCTGCTCCTCCACCTCCAGCCCCGCCTCCTCCACCTCCTCCCCCTCCCCCTCCCTGTCGCAGCGGTGATCTGAGCTGCACCTCCCCGTTTCGCCCGCCTCCCACGGTGAGACAGACAAGTGTAAAAAGGGAAAAAACAAGGTTAGACAGACAGGTGGACACAGGTGAGACAGACAGGTGGACAGAGGTGAGACAGAAAGGCAGACAGAAGTGAGACAGACAGGCAGACAGAGGTGAGACAGACAGGTGGGCAGAGTAGAAACAGGGTAAGACAGATAGGTGGACAGGGGTGGTGACTGTCCTTCTATATTATAGGTGGATGTGGAGACAGTGAGACAGGAAGTAAAACAGTCCATCATTGACAGAGATATTTATCTCAGTGATGATGGACTGTCTCAATCTGAGCCTCTTCCCACAGATGTCCGAGCGTCTTGTGGACGTGGAGAATGAAGCCATGCTAAAAATTGTCGAACTGGAGAAAAAGCTGATGCAAACCAACAAAGACCTGGACCAACTGAGGGTCGGTTCCCATGGAAACCAACACACCAGAATCTCCTGTTGTCATAGCAGGTCATCTAATGTCCCCTGTCTTAATTGAACAGGAGGCTTACAGCAGCGCTAATGCTCAACTTGTCACATTGCGACGTATGGTGCGGGAGAAAGATCAGACAATAAATCGGCAGAGTCTCCTGGACCGGCAGAGTCAATCAGAACACCAGGATCCAGGTGTTGGACACACAGGCGAAGATGTCACACCACAACTACAGAGAGGACAGGGAGACGGGGGCGTGGCTGAGTCTGCCTCTCCATCATTAAACATGACCAACACCAGTAACAGGTACCAACTGTCATCATCAGAACATAAAATAAAAGAGAAGGGAATTTATTAATAACATTAATAACTGATTATTCATTAAATCCCTCAGCTTTGAATCTTCAGCCTATCAAAGCACAGAGCCAGTGATGGGCGGAGCTCCTAGTCTGCTGGTTCCACCCCCTCCCCCTCCTCCTCTGCTCGTGTCAGGTGAGAAATGGCTGACGATGAGAGAGCTTGTCTCTGTCGGTTGAACTGACTCTGTCCTTTTTCCTTGTTTATAGATTATCTCACACCTGGTCCTGCTCCTCCACCTCCAGCCCCGCCTCCTCCACCTCCTCCCCCTCCCCCTCCCTGTCGCAGCGGTGATCTTAGCTCCACCTCCTCGGTACCGCTGCCTCCGCCCCCACCACCCGTGGCACCGCCCCTGCCGGGCTCAGGGGGATCAGGGCCGACCATTTTTAATCCTGGACTCCCAGGTGGGTTGGTTGGTTGAAGTTTGAGGTTTTAGCCAATTCCTGTTCCGAATGTTCACTGTAACATTATTTTATGTGTTCTTTTCTGCTCCTGACAGAGGGGGCACTGAAGCTGTTCTGTGAGTAAACAGACAAACAACAGTACACAGCTGTAAACCATATAAACTACCAGACACACCCTCTGACCACTGGTCACTCTTCCCACCCACTTGTCTCATCTTCTTCTAACTCATGTCCCTCTATCCCCCCATCTCACTTTGTGACTCCTGTACCACCCTATGACAACGTGTCTTACCTTTGGTTTACCCATCCCACCCTCTGTGTCCACCTCTGTCCACCTCCATTAACGTCTTACAGCTGTGAAGATTAAGAAGCCTATCCAGACCAAGTTCCGGATGCCGGTTCTGAACTGGGTGGCGCTTAAACCTAGTCAAATTAATGGAACTGTATTCAACGATGTAGACGACGAAGCTGTGCTGCAGGTAAACAACCAGAAACATCCACGATGACAAACAACAACAAGGATCATAGACGAGGATTAAAACATCAGGTTCAAAATGACAAAGACAACAAACGAACAACAGAGATCAAAAACCACACGTTTCAACAAAAACAACAAAATAAAGCATGGATTGTTGTTTTTTGTTTCTCATGAACCCTGTGTCTCTCAGGACCTGGACATGGGGGAGTTTGAAGACCTCTTTAAAACCAAGGCTCAGGGTCCGGCTGTGGATTTGACCTTGTCGCGACAGAAACTTCCTCAGAAAGTCGTGTCAAAGATTTCGCTGTTGGAGGCGAATCGAGCCAAAAATCTGGCTATCACGCTGAGGAAGGCGGGGCAGGGGTCTGATATCATTTGCCGATCCATTCAGACGTAAGTCAACCGCTGAAGGGTTAGTTCATCGTGGACAGTCAGTCAACATTTCTTGGTAACTGGTCACCGTCTATCGCTGGTTCTGGCTCAGTGTTGGTTTCATGTTTGTTGTAGGTTTGACCTGAGGAAAGTGCGGGTGGACTTTGTGGAGTGTCTCACACGTTTTCTTCCCACGGAGTCGGAGCTGAAGGTGCTGCGTCAGTACGAGCGCGACAGGAAACCGCTGGAGGCGCTGAGTGACGAAGATCGATTCATGATGCAGTTTAGTCGTATCGAGCGTCTCACGCAGAGGATGAGCATCATGACCTTTATGGGCAACTTCAACGACAACATGCAGATGTTAACACCGGTGAGAAGTCTGACCTGTGACCTGTCACACCTGACCTCTGGTCTACTGGTCTGTGAAACATCTGACTTGTGACCTGTTTTACAGCAACTCCATGCTGTCATTGCCGCTTCTGTTTCTATCAAATCATCCCAGAAGCTCAAGAAGATTCTGGAGGTCAGTGTCATTGCGTATGATGTCACATAAGTTTGATGAGGTCACTTAGAGGTCACATGAAAGTGACTCCTGTTGGTTTCTTTGTGCCTTTTTTAGATAATTTTGGCATTGGGAAACTACATGAACAGCAGCAAAAGAGGAGCCGTTTATGGATTCAAACTCCAAAGTCTGGACCTGGTAAAAGATACAGCCACTTTAGTTTGTCATGAATTCAAACTATAAAAAAATGTACACTTTCTTTATGTTGGGATTCAGGAGTTTACGAGGAAGGTTGTTCTGCACTTGCCTTTGTTTTTACTTTTTCTGCACCTCCCTTGAAGTACTGTGGCCCCAGGGGTAGGGTGGGGGGGGGCACCTCTCACACCACAAACCACTATTTTAACCAGACTGTGTAAATGTGTCTGTGTGTGTGTACATAATATGTAGCTCTTAGACACAAAGTCGACCGACCGAACACAGACGCTGCTCCACTACATCGCCTGTGTGGTGAGAGAGAAATACTCAGCTGCTGCTCTCTTCTATAATGAGCTTCACTACGTGGACAAAGCAGCTGCAGGTGAGTGAGAGAGCCAATTAGAACACAGCTGGCTGGAACGGCTCCCCCCCTCACCTGTGTGTGTCTGTGTGTCAGTGAGTCTGGAGAACGTTCTGTGTGATGTGAAGGATCTTCAGCGTGGGATGGAGTTGACCTGGAGAGAGTTCAGTGTCCAGCACAACTCCACACTTAAAGACTTCATCAGCAGGCATGAGTCACGACTGGCGCAACTGCAGGCTCGCATTGCTCAGGTCTGACCTGTCCATTTATTTGCCATTCTTCTATTCACAAGCCCACTTTGTGTGAAAAGAAAAAAAAAAAGCCAATATTTTTTTCCCAGGATGCATTTGAAGACGTGGTGAAGTTTTTTGGTGAGAGTTCCAAAACGATGCCTCCATCTGTCTTTTTCCCCATCTTTGTTCGCTTCATCAAAGCATACAGAGTGAGTCTCCTGCTTTGCCAACTCTGGTCTAAAATCTCTCTCTTCTTTTGTAGGCCTCACTCCCTCTGATGTGTTTTTTTTGCAGTTGGCTGAGGAGGAGAACGAGCAGCGCCGCCGCCAGGAGCAGATGTTGTTAGAAAAACTGGAGCAGGAGGAGCAGCAGGAGGAGGCACAGACAAAAGTAAGACCTGCCTGCAGACCATCTTTTTTCATGTTTTCAAAATCAACACATGTCAACATCGCCCCCTGTCCGGCTCCAGTCTCCGTCCCACAGAGGAAAGCGCCAGCAGCAGGAACTGCTCACGGAGCTGAGAAGGAAACAAGGGAAGGACAGTCGACATGTTTACGAGGGGAAGGACGGTGCCATTGAGGACATCATCACAGGTAAACCTGATGACATCATTAGTGACATCACAGCACGTGTATTCGGCCTGAATTCTAATTGGCTGTCTGTTTTTACATTCAGCTCTGAAGACCGTCCCCTTTACTGCTCGGTCGGCAAAACGCAGCTCACGCTTCTTCTGTGATCCAACCCACTCAGATGAGCACTACTGATGAAGGGGGGAGGGACAGGAAGCACTGAGAATGAGAGAGACGGTGACTGACAGACTGACAGACAGAGGTATTTTTCCTGGATCAAGTCTTTTTCTGGAGGCCACACCTACATGTGATTAAATAGAATAATCAGCACTTTCTCTGATCATGTGACTTTATGCATTATTTTTAAGAAAGACATTCTCCAAAAACTGACTTAAAAACTGCACAGGGTTCCGAGTCCTGATCGATGACTCATGGTATGATTTGATAACAGTTTGCACTGTAGAGAGATTTCACAGGAACATTTGTTCAGTGACTTATGCCTTTACAAATGTCTACCTGCTGGTGGTGCTGCTGAGACTCTAAGACTCTCCAGACCATCCTGAAGAGAAAGACAAACCAGGAGGCCAGGACAAAAAACTAACTTTGTCTACAACCAGGTCTGACTAAAGACTTTGGCTGAAGTTTTAGTCAGAAAGATTTGAGACTGACTCAAGATCATTTATGCCTACCTTACCCACTTTGCTCAACTCTACCTATTCCCCACTTCTGTTTTTTTAAACTGGTCTTTTCTGATTCTTAGACGCTATTTCTTAATTTCACTGAAACATAACAATCTGGTTTATTTAAGAAACGATTAAAAGATTGAGATTCCATTTTGAGTCTAGAACTTTATGCTGACTTCCTGTCAGCTGACGCCACCTAGCTTTGACCATAATTTAGACCAGGGGCCTCTGTACAAAGACTTGCGCAGATTTCATTGTGAAAAAGGGTGTACGTTTGTACATGAGGCACCGCTCATTTCTACGCTCATTTCAGTTTTGATACATCCGAACGGGAGCGTGGAAAAGGGCGTACGCACCTTTTCTGTTCGTAAGCAAGGTTCGTACACGAGGCCCCAGGTGTTCAGGACTAGAGGACTGACCTTCTGGACCCACAGGACAATCCAGGACTAACTGACACCTTTGACCTTCAAACAGCACAACCTTTTCTATTTTTTTTTTGTAACGCAAATTTGTTAAAATGTTCGAGTGTTAAGTGGTTATGTTGATGGTGAAATTAAAAACAATCTGGTCACGTGACCATGTCTCTGAGTGATATTAACCACCAACTCCTGGAATAATGGCTAAGGTGTGAAGATCAGAAATAATTGAACTTTTACAATTATTTTTTTTATTTGACCACATTTGATCATTAAACATTGCATTTTCATTACAGAAGCATCACACGACTACGTTAAACAAAGAAAACAAAAAAAATATTTACAAAAGAAACTTGTAAATACAAGTTAGACACTGTAGGTCTGTATTGTGAAAAGGCAGCAGTTACAACCATACCAGCAGTGACCTAAGCATGTGACCCTGACCCTCACAGTCACTGATCCTCAAGACTCCAAAAAAAAACATTTTAATTTATTGGAATAATTTAGTGCACAGGTAATGACATCACTTCCTCTGGGTGGCAGCTCGAGCTCTGTTTAACCTGTCAATCAGGAGGCGATCTGTGGTGGAGCATCTGGAAAGCACTGCCCCAATCTCGGCGTCATTCCTGCGTTCGATGGCAGCTTCTGCCGCCCCCTCCAGGTCACTGACAGTAAAGAGAAACCGTAGAAGTCAAATGATGTAAAATAATGGAATGTTAATTTTAACAATGACTTCGTTCTTCTTACCCCACAGCCAGGTGACTTTTGACCTTCTGCTCAGCCGTTACCCTGGAAACATACTTCTTGGCCTCAAACGTGTTGTTGTGTTTCATACACACTTCAACAAAGGCCTGAACAACACACACACACAAACAGGAAAACATCACTGGAAATGCTGACATCATCAACAGAAATACAGAAAAGTGAGAGGGCAAGGGTTTATTCTCACCAAGTAGCCAATAGGAGACTTTTTACTCTTGGAAAACTTCTCCAACTCCTCCCACTCTGACTTCTCTGCCAGAGATTTGAGTTTCAGCCACCAGTACCTGAGAGGTCAGAGGTCAGACAGAGGTCAGGCAGGATTCAGCCGTCTGGAGTCATTTGTACGACATCATCATCACCTCTTGTCAGGAACTTTGAAGTCTCTGTAAATCTGATCAGCTTGTTTGTGGAGCCCTGAAGACAAAAGAGTCTCCATGGTGTCCTAATATGACGGCGTTGACATAATCAGCATCATAAAGGGCTGTGACAGACGGTGACATCACACTATGTTAGTTACACCTGAAGCTACCTGCAGGGACAGTCCCAGAAGCCTCAGTCCCTTCTCGTCATCTAGTTTTCTCTGCAGACGAAGGAGACGCATCTCATCCTCTGTTGCCTAACATAAAAACAAAGTTTTTTTTTGTCTTAAATGTCTGTCTTGACTGAGATCAAGTTAAAGCTGGTTTATTTTCTCACCTTTGCTGAAAAGTCATTCTTGGCTCTGTTGAACTCATCTACAGCGTTCTGCAACTGAGACAGACGGGTTTCCAGTCTCTGAGAGGACACACGGGTCAAAGGTCAGACAGGCAGATGAGAATAACGTCAAAGATGGAACTGTAAACTGACTGCCAGTCACTGACCTTCTCTCTGTAACTGGCAGCAATGTAATAATTGGCAAGTTCTTGATGATCATCGTCCTGGTTGTAAAGGTCTTTCAGGGTCTCCAGCTCCTGCAGCTTACAGAACTGGGAACATCATCAATAACCAATAATCATCAACAGAGAAGTGAATCAATCAGAAGAGACTAACGACAACCAAAACCCCATGGGACTGGGCTGAAAATAATAATAAAGATGACTTTGTAGATGGAGGTGATGCAGATGAGGATGAAAGAGGAAGGACTGACCTGTCTGTAGAGACTGAGGGCAACTGGCTGGTTCCTTAGAGTCATGAAGAAATCTCCTCTGTTCATCTCATTCTTCAGAACAGTAACCACTGTGTAAACTGATAGAAGGACGAGTTTTATCATCATCATCATCATCATCACCACCATCAGAGCCGAGAACAGGCTAAAACTGGCATGGGCAAACTATTCCTCAAAGGCTCCAGCCAACCAAGTGCACACAGTTTGACCAATCAGCTGTCTGAAGACTGAGATCAGTTGATTAAATGTGTCAGGTCAGGTGTGCTGCTGTGTGGTTGGAACAGAAACCTGCAGCCACGGTGGGCCTTAGTGGAACAGACTGCCCACCCCAGGGCTAAATGAGTCTCACTCTGGTCGGTGTCTCCGCTCTCCACAGCTTTAGTCAGAGCCAAGTGACTCCTCTTCATCCGTAGCAGCAGCGGAACCTGGTCTCCAGAGCGAGCTTCAAAGTCCAGAAGCTGAAGGACACAAAGACAGAGAGACGGCAAGTGTTTACAGTTCAGCAGCTGAGAAACAAAAAGACAGACTTCCTGTTTGAACAGAACTCGAGCTGAGTAGAGAGGAAGGAACGTCAGCCACAGGTGGACAGGGATTTCACCTTGATTGCGAGTTCACTGCGTCCACACTCGTAGGCTTTAGCCGCAATCTGCGCGTAGGAAACTCCTGGAGTGTCTCCAACCTTTGAACACACAGCATGGGCAATGGCCTCGTCTGATAGGTCTTTCTGCTGTACCTGGACACACACACACACACACACACAAACAATCATTATTAGCCTTGCCAGACAAACCACTTAAGACAAAATCTTGGGGCGGGGCCAGAGTTACCTTACGTGAAGCCCAGTGTTTGAGGACACAGCTGACACCCTGATAATCTGGAATCTTCAAGTAACGACAGATTTCTATGGCCAAGGGATAGAACTGTCTGTAGACCAGTCTGAGAGAGAGAGAGAGAGAGAGAGAGAGAGAAATCAGGTGCGAGTCATGTGAAGTGTGAGACTGGTGGGAGACAGGCAGGTCCAGAGACAGAAAGGCTGCATATATTGGACCGACCTGTCAATCAAAACCTGCAGGGTCATCTGTTTAAACCTGAAATCAGAAGTCAAGGAATTCATATCCAACATTTCTTTTCATGCTGCTGTCGATGTTGTTTCTCTTTTTCCTCACGGAGCCAAAGGCCTTAGGATACTGGGCATGTGTCAGCGGCAGACCCACACTGGCCTCTCTGACAGCATTCAAGACTCGCAGTTCTCTGCAGGTCTCCACAAACTGGTCTGGACTCTGGTCAGTCAAGAAACACTTCCCAAATGATGCCGCCTGGTGGAACACATCATTATTACAGTGATGAATATAACATGAGAATCAGAGTGACATCATCAGAGATGCAGGCTCACCCGCAGCAAGGCCTTCTGGGTGCTGGTGTCATACTCATGAGCTGCAGCCTCCACACACTGTATCACTGCTTCTCCCAGCATCCTCTGCTCCTTGATCTCACGAAGGTACTCATCTGCTTTCTGACTAGACTTCTGTGAACAAAAGTCAGGGTTGAGGCACAAGTGTAGGTCCATTCTCTGGTTTTGTTTCTCAGTCAACGTCTTCATCTGGATGTTGTTCTGACCTGGTACTCGCGGTGAGCCTCCAGCAGTAGAGCCCCAGGAGCCATGGAGGCAATCTTAAACATGTCTTGACAGACCAGAGGTACCTCCTGAAGAAAGTCCTGATGAGTAGAGCTAATTATACGGACTCCATCCAGTTCTCCAACCAGGGCACATGGGTCATCCACTGGGAACCTGGAGAAAGATGTTAAGGAACGTACCAACCCAAACCAGAACATGTTTACTGGACCCTGGTCCTCACTGACATGAACTGGTCTTAAGGATACTGGATGGTCTCACCACAGACTCCCACCACCAGGAGGAGGTGGTCCCACATCAGGATCACAGCAGGTTCTTGGCTTTTAGGTCTTCGACACCTGCAGGAAGACAGACAGGTCAGTGTTTGATGGTCCAGTTTCTTTGGAGGACTGGCAAACAGACAAATGGACAGACAGAGACAGACAAACAGACCAGAAGAGCAGAGAGACTGATGTGGACTTACCAGACCATCTGTTCGGGCCTGCTGGTCTTCTTGGTGTCCACAAGACTCAAGCTGTCCTACAAACCCAAAATCTGCTGTCAGACATTAACACAGACCTCACCACATAGAAAGCTGACCGCTAATATGTGTATCACCTGTAGGTGGGAGGGGCCTGTCCACAAATGTCCACTGTCAGTGAAGACGGACAGGTATTTATAATTAAAGGACACGCACATGTGGATGATGTTGCCATAGTGAGGACCAAGACCTGGAGGACACTGAGACAGAAAATAGTCAGGACCTGTGTGAGCCCATGTGTGTCCATATCTGTGTCTAAAACTTACCACCGAGGTGCAAGATGTATTGTCAAGAATAAAGAATTCTGGGCCATTAGATAGAAGGACTTTAGTCTGTCTGTCCTGAGTCAGGACCAGCCATGAAGACGGTTTTCCCTGGAGACCTGAGGACAAGATTGGGGTACTGTGATCCCAAGAACCTAAGGCTGAAGATCAAAGACAAAAGAAAAAAGAACCAGTGACCTACCTGGGACCTCAGGTAACCTCCGCAGCTTCAGGTCATCAATGTTGGTTGCCAGGGTAAAACGGGAGGACCCTGTTACTATGGCAACCCCTGTTCCATATGGAGAGTGAAAGACCTTGGCCTCCAGGACCTGGCTCTGTACCACTTCCTGTTGCACACACAGGCTAAACCAGTTAACCAGGTGTAACACTCAGACTAGGACCAGGGTCTGGACTAATGTCACATAAGAACACTTGACGTACGCTTATGTTCAGGGTCTTACCTGGCCCATACTAAAGTGTCTCTTAAAAGATCCAAACAGGTCATAGATCAGAACTGATCCATCTTCCTGGACACACAACAACTCATCTGTGACCGTCCAACCAAGATGGATGACAGGACCACTCTTCCACTAAGACACAGACACATCGACAGGTTGCATTTATATTATTAACACATACCAGCAATATGTGTGTGTATGTGTTGGTGTGGGTCTATGTCCTTACAGGAAAGCTGGCAATGGAAACTCCAGATGCTGAATAGATTTCCAGCTGAGGGCGGGACCTGGGAGAACGCCTGTGAGGTTCTCTTAGTACGGCTGAGAAACAGAAACTCTCTGAGTAGGTGTGTATATATACAATGTATACATTATTTGTGTTTGTTTGTTTGTACCTATGGGCCCTCCGTATGGGGCAGCAGAGAGCAGACTGTCCTTTAGCCCCTCTCTGAGGTTCCAGGACATTTCATAAAGCTCTGTCTTCCTGTAATAAACAGTGAAGCATTCAACATTATAGCAGCTATGTAACACAAGGTCTATCCGAGATATAGCTCTTACTTGAAACGTTTTCTTTTTTAAAAAATATATCAGTTAAATTATCTATAAAAATGTTCCACATTAGTGCGTACAATTCATTACAAGCAGTACGAAAGACGCTTCTCAATGTTAAATGAGCATAAGAGTCAGTGCAAGAAGAACTTAAGCGTTTCCTTAAATTGATATTTAATTGATTCTGTAGACAAACTGTAAATCTAATGTTAGCACAGAGCTAACAGCGCATAGAAACAGAACTAATAAAAGACGTACTGATGTTAAAACATGTAACTAACAGTTTTTAAAAGTCAGAGATAATAAAAAACATTGACCGGTAAAAGGCTTCTCCCAGGGGGTTCCAGTTCGCTGTCATTAAAGACATGGTGATGATGTTATTAGTTCTTAGCAGTTAACCACCAGTCGTCAGGTTCGGAGTCAGCTGACTCTGAATCTGGTACTTCCCACTTCTTTTGCGCATGTGCAGTAACGACAACACTTCCGGTTTCTTGTGCTGCCTTCATGGTCAAGTGCGAAACGAAGACTTATTTGAAACCAATGACTTACATCAAATTTACAATAGGATTTTTAATACAATTTCCCAAATAAATTTATTGTTGTCAGAAATAATACTTATGTATTATGTTTACTGTGTTAACTTGTATAAAAATCCATAAATAGACAAATTATGAATAATTTATGGAGATTCGTATAATACTTTGTAAGACACAACGGATAATGATGTCAACCAACTGCCACCCGTCATTACGGGTCCTAGTTTTTTTACAAAAATGTTGTTTCTTAAATATAATGTGTATTAAAACGTTTTACAAATCGATTTAACAAACACGCCTGACAGCGTTGCTAATGCATTAAGAAAACAGAGCTGCAGAGGATTGTGGGTAATGTGGATCAGCAGGCAAATTGTTTCTGAAAATGAAGAAAAATACAAAGTATTATTTTTTTAAAACAGTCTGTCGGTACATTCTGTGACGCACCAAATAAAACGGCTTATTCATAGTGATCTGTCGATGAAAAAAAAAATAGACATCCTGGCACCATGAGTGAAGTAGGCATTGTGGGAGCATGATCCTAGAGCCTGCCCAACTACGGTAACCTTCTTTGTCATGGGGTGACGTAGGAAGCTCAATGAGCGTCTAGCGAGAGTTTCCTTGCTAACACCACAATATCAACACTTTAGCGTCACCTGGGCTTCGGCCCAGGCCCGGCGCAATTTTTGGAACCCTTATATTTTCAATATGTAAGAAAAGCTGCAATAATAAATTGATCATTTGTCAAAATCACTATCGCCGTCTCATTATCTGTGTGCACAATGCAACTGAGTTTTAATATACGATTTTTCACAAATTCGTTTCTCTACCCTACCGGCAACGCGTCTATTAATTCATTATAGGGAATGATTACAATTGCAGTTGTTGATACATTACGTTCTCCATTTACATTTTGCTCTCTTTATTAATTACATTGTGTTCTGTGTATGACGTTTGTTTATACAAAACTAATGTTTATCTCTCTACCTAACAAACATTATATATTAGCTTGTTAGTTACCTGCATTACTTTCTATGTAACTAAACCTTAGCTCGTAGCCTAGCTTTTAGCTCTTTATGACTTTTAATATCATACTCTAACTTTCAGTTACAGCATATACTTAATGACTTAAATAACTATGTTTTACTTCTATGATTCAATTTTCATTTATTTTATTTTTCAAGTGAACTCCTTGTCATTGTGACACAGCTCACCACTGCACACAAACAAATGTGACCTCTGTCTTTAACCCATCACCAAAGTGAACAGGGGGCAGCTTTAAGGACCAGGGGAAATCTGTGTGTGGGGACAGTGCTGTGCTCAGAGCACGTCAGTGGTAATGTGAAACGTTTTAACCTAATACAAACTTGTATTACTCCTTGTGAACTACTCCTAGCTCTCTACATAAGTAAGTTTAACTCTTTATAGCTCTTACCTTGAGGTCTTCACTTGACAAGCTTTAGGCTCTCTACGTAACTAACCCGTGGCTCTCCACTTCACTAAGTGTGTGGGTGGAGTCTGTCAGCAGCAGGTTCTCCTCCTCCTCCTCCTCCTCCTCATCTCTTACTGCTTGTCTTCCTCCTTCTTTGATCCATATCATTGAAGGTGAAGGTGAACGGAATTCAGGAGAAGTTCAAAGTCCTGAGCTGCTGAAGCAGGATGTCAGCGACAAAAACAATTGTTCACTTCATGGTGAATGAGCGTCTGGAGAGGGCAGAGTTCAGCACTGATTGCTCTGCTGCAGAGGTCAGAGGTGAGAATCACGATGCTCTCTGGCTTGTAAAGGTGTAAACATGCGTTTTTGTCTGTGAGAGTGGGTTCAGATTCTTTTGTTTGTTGGCTGCTGCAGACTAGTGCTTCATGTCTGAGGACACTGAGGACTCCAGGATCCACAGGTGTCTTTGACAGCTCCCACCTTGACCTCCTCCTCACGTTATTGTGTCAAGTGCTCATTCAGCACTGAGTGATTCTACCTGATTTTCTGGAGGAAATCTGTGATTATTAGCTCACGGAGACACAGTATTTATTTATAAAACTGCGTCCCCCCCGTCACCATGATCAAAAGTGCAGTTTCATAACTACTTGATCTACCTCAGTGGTAGTAGGAAACCAGCAGTGCCTTGTTATTCAGAAGCTTTGATTCTGATTAACTCTAGTGTCAGTGATGGTGTCTTCAATCCCGGCTGAAGCTTCTCCTTCTTACAGATTTGTTCCTGGCAGCAGCAGAGGTGGGGCCTCAGCACATCCTCAAGATGTACAGTCAGGATGGCCGACTTCTGAACATCTGCCCTCAACTTCAGGCCAACACTGAGGAGTCTTTCTACAGACTGGATGTAGTGGCGTCTGACGTACACAGTGAGCGTCTTCTGCTCTCTGTGTTAGCACATTCTATGACCTTCTGGAAAAGAACTCTCTTAATCGATGCCTTCTCTTGGCAGGTTTCACCATGACACCAGAGCTGGATGATGTCGAGGAGAGGTGAGTGTGAGCACACCAATTCATTCACTAGAGCGTGCACATGCATCTACTGATGATGATGATGATGATGATGATGATGCTACTTCAGGCTGCAGCAGCTGGAGAGTAGAGTCATGGAGGATGTGGGGAAACCTCCAGACATCATTTGTGGACTGCAGAGCCACGTGGAGGTCTTCAGGAAGAAACTAGAGGTCTGTACACCACACACACAGTGAATACAGATTGAGGAGAGCCAGTTTATTCATCTCAGTATCTGCTGTCAGGGTGTGGCTCATCTGAGCTGGATGGGTCTGTCCAAAGAGCAAGGACAGCAGAGGACACCAAACATCTCTCCAAACCTCACGAGTCTTCAGCTGGATGTTCAGGAGAAACATCAGCACGTTTTTAGGAAGTTCCTGGACATGGGGTGAGCAGGAGATGAGACCATATGCTTTCCTCAAACTCTGAGCTGAAACTGAAACTGAATCCGACCCTTTGTGGCAGCAGCTCCCTGCAGGTGTCAGAGGAAGTGAGAGCACATCTGAAGACTCCTCTGTTTGACAACTGGTGAGTTTGAACACTCAAATACACACGCACACCCACGCAGACTCTCCTGTTAAAGCTGTGTGTGTATGTGTGTGAGATTACAGGCAGTGGGAGGAGTCAGAGATGTTGCTCCTCCTTCAGGTGATGTTCACAGACCTGGACATCCTCACAGCATTTCACATCCAACTGCAGGTGCTGCAGAACTTCCTGTTCCAGGTCTACTGTCACTACAACCACATTCCTTTCCACAACTTCCACCACTGCTTCTGTGTCACACAGATGGTATGAGTCCCAGTCC